AATTATAAAGTCTCGGAGAATATGTTCCAGGAAGTCAACAATAGAAGTAAAAAATGTAAAAACCGACAATTGAACAGCAATTCAGTTTTATACACTGCCTTTAAATCAAAAAGTAAAATAATGAAAGGTGATGCAATCATTTTTCCACCCTTACGTACATTCACTCTCACACTCACGCCCTCTTAATTCTGGGAATAGATAATGGGGGTTGATCACTTAATTTAAATCCAACTTTGCTAATGTTTTGAAAGTTTAACATCTTTCTCAAATTTTTATTTGTCACCTTCGTTAATTTTTTTCGGCTTTGTCATTTTCACAAGCTTCATCCAACCAAGATAAATCCATCAGGTGATCGTAAATTCGTTCCACGAGTACCACTTTCTGTCCAGTGTAATCGAGACACAGACTATTGCGAATAAGTCTGCTTCATTGAATTTCACAGAAACAAAAAACAAAACGATTTTCTAGGTCATTGTATATGAAAAAGAAAACAAAACACCATAAATAAAAATCGCAGTAATTTCTGCTAGTGCATGTCATGAAACCCAAATTATTATGGTTGAATACTGGCTAGTTTCACTAACCTGAGGCAGTAAAGTTAATCACGTATCGCAACATGTGTCCATCATAAAACCAGCAGTTACCACTGTGCCCACATGTCTCACCCCAAACAAGGCACACAGAATCTGTAACAGTTTAGATCACAAGGGAAATGAATCTCATTAAAAAATACTGAAAATTATTTTCATCACTGTGGTCATTATTTAGTGAGAAAATAAATATTTTCTGCTCAAAATCAACATTCAGATAAATCTCACCTAAAATAATGCCGAAGACAATAGGTGCAGGGATGTAAACAAGACAACAGAGTAGAATTTCCATGATAGCAATAGACATTGATTTATCGTCTTCATTCACACTCCTGTACAAAATTAAAAAATAGTATCATTGAAGAATTACAGAGTTGCTTTAATCAAACATTTGCATTATATTTTTTGAGGGTTTAAACCACGGCTTGCCAACTCAATGCTCTGTGACGTCATAAAAATTTGCTCTTCTGTTCGGGACAGGGCCGGGGAGCAAAGGTGGTGCCGGACTCGGCGGCGGGTGTACAGTGTTCCAATGATGGTACGGAAGTGGGGGAAAAGGTTCGCTCAATAAATACGTTTTTGACCGGTAATTATTATTTAAATGTTTATGATTCAATAAAAATATGAAAGATAATAAAAACTAAGATTATTTCATAACACAAAACAATATCCGAGTCTATCGTAACCTGTACTTTCACTTCCATTCGTCTAACACACAATATTTTTGGAGAAGACATTTTAACATTCTGATACAATATTTTATACAAGATTATATAATATAACAACTTTAGTTCATCCTGAACACAGGTAAACAAAATAAAAAGTTGTAAATAAGTAAAATAAAAAAAGACCCGAAGACATGACACATGTTTCTCTATGTATGTCTACCCGCTGAATCCGAATCGGAAGCCAGATTTACGCCAACATTTTTTTAATTGCAAAAAAACAATGAAATGACAGTTTCACCTTGAGTTTTCACGATTAAAAAAACTCGATGGTGGTGGCGCAATTCTGGCTTCAGAATCGGATTAAGCGAAAGAAAATTAACCGATGTACCCACCCACACACACTGTTCCCTGAAATATCGGCGAAGGCCCCCTGGTTTTCGTTATCTGCGACCGCAGTCTGCCCCTTCCTCCCGCTCCCCTTTGCTCCCAACACTTCTCGGAGCACGCGGTCGAAGAGGAGAACGGAGCTCCGACGTCATTTCTCCGCCAGTTGGCAAACGCTGATTTAAACATTTGTTGCACAAGTTGGATACATTCCCAAACGATGGTGGTCTATGGCATACAAGATCAATTTTTAAAAAAGGTGAAAATAATTTTCTTAGATATAGAAAAGGTATTTAAAATGACCAAGAGATATTGTGTTTTTATTGTTATTGTATTTAAACATTTATAACTAGAAAATAAATACTGTACTAATTAGGTAATTAGGTATTTGGAACAAAAGCCTTGTTCAGGGAGTTAATGGAAGGTGCAAAGTAAGGGTATATAGTTCCCCATATAATTTTAATATTTTTAGTTAGTGTAAGAGTATTTTTTTATTAGAGTTGGTGTAACAAACAAAAAATAACAAGATAACTAACTTCATTGTGTCAACAAGGTAAAATAAATAAGAGTACAAAAAGTAATGTTTTTTACATAATTCATGAAGATGTTTAGAAAAAAAATAAGAATAGGCAATTATTATTGTCAGTAATGGTAAAGATTTTGAAAGAGTAGTAAAACAATGGAAAAATCATTATTAAGCAGATCTTTGACCATTGCTTGTGTCGAGTTAATATGTATATAATCCTTTCTAAACAAATAGGGGAAAATCAAAATCTACGAATATCAGGTTGTATCTGAAATACAATTATACAGGTTGAATCTCATCTCAGGTATATAGGTTGAATCTGAATACAAAATCAAAGAAGGAAGTAAAAGATATCCTAAAAATAAAACTGCCTATTAAAGAGTATTTAATTTTACTCTATTTGTAATTTGGGAACCTGTGAGGCTACATTGCCAATTTACAAGCTTTCTGAAACCTCTCTCCAGAATGTATTTTGCTGGTTTTTGGATGCCATACTGCAACTTTCTTCATACATTTTGACTCTTGACAGACAAGGATGAGACTTGGACAGCTAAGAGTGAGTAGACATTGTCGGTGGAAGCATACACAACCATCTTCAAATGTGATTACATCATATGTAAAATCTGTTGTTTCACGTTTAGTAAAAAGTTTTTAGTTCCTCCTGTCTTCGGTTTTGTTTTGTTAGAATATTTAAGATAACTTTATATAATCCAATGGTAAATTCACTTGTATACCGATTCAGTAATTTCTCTACATGATGGACATTGAAATGTGGCATGGTTCAGAATGAGTTGAAGTGATTGTAAGTGAATTTTCATTAATGAAGATGGAGCTCAATGGCATGATGAATTTAATAAAATGTAATGAATTATTTGTGAGATACTTTTTTTATTTACAAGAACCTCTATTTTCCTTTTTTTTTTCATGCTGTTAAAAATATACAATAATGTAATAAAGAGATAATTTGAATTCAAAGATGCAGTTTTATGAAGACTATTAAAATGCACAATATCAAACCTATTCTGGAGAAGAGGTTTACAAAAACTTCATAAAGATTGGTTTATATAAAATCCTACAAGTCATTGACAACTTTCAATGAAGATGTATTAAAGTGTATTCAAAACATTGGTTTTCATGATTTTCACTTCAAAATCTATGAAGTTATATAAACATAATTTCAATACATTATTTTTTGAAACAATCACTTTGAATAAACTATCTTCATTAAATTTTCAGCCATCTTTATTTAAGTGGTATATTACTTATAAAATTAATGTACTCATGAATGGGTAAACATATGGGGCTGTTTTATATATTTTATACCCACAACATTGAAAGTTATCAAGGTGAAGAGATTTCTTTAATTGCGTTCTTACCTAAATTGTAGGAGCATATTTCCTGACTTCCCTGTAGCTTGAAGAAATCTCAGAATACTCTGCATTATAAGGAACACAGTAAAATTGCCAGAGCAATCTGTTATGCATGCACCATCAACAACTTTGTTGTTTAGAGCACATGAACAATTACTGAAGGTCTGGGGAAATGAATAATTGCAATTAAAAAATATAATCAAATAGATCCCAGAAATATCATGTCATTTTTTTTTATAGTACCTCACTAAGGTTCACTTATAAAAATCATCTTCTAAATTTTGGGTGTAGTTAATTCAGTAAAAGTTACGTATAAACACATTTATTAAATATCAATATTAAGGCACATTCACAATGCAAACATCAACATAAACGTGGCCTTAACATGAAAGTTAGGACTACGTCCATAAGCGGATTCATTCACAATGCGTTCGCATAACGTTAACACAAGACGTTAACTTAGAAGCTTGCAAGCTTCGACCTTCTGTGCTTATGATTAAGTAAGACATAAGAAACGAACCAATCACAGTACGTTAACTCAAAATCGAGAATCGAAATATGAGCGAAGTCGATAGACGATACCTTGAAATCGATTCTCACATCCAACATAGTAAACTAGAATGACAATAGAAACTCTTATTTTGCTTACTTTTATGTCAGACATTGTTAATACTTCAGTATATCACTTGTGTTAATGTTTACGTCTATGCGCTATGCTTATGTTTACGTTTGCATTGTGAATGGGCCTTTACTACTTTCTAATGCACGGAGAAACTGAAAGGAAACAATGCTACCTCCTACGAAACGAAAAGCGTCTATGGTTTCTTTGAATAAACAGAAACACTGGTAAATCCAAAGACAACGAAACAGTTTCTGAAAAACTGAAAAATGCAAACATTTGATTGTGATATTCCGCCTGCTCTTTTACTATGCTTACCGACTAAATTCTCATGCATCGAGCATCTCTCTTCAATACATCTGACGTCAGGCGACAGCAAGGCTCTAATGAAGAGACCGACCGCCATTAAATATTTGCTGTTCAAATTTGCGTTAAGAAATAGCAATATAAGAATTTTAAGAACTTGTATGTGCAAATATCGGAATTTGTACATTGTGATGGTGCAGGTCATATTTTCGTTATATTGAAAATACAAATATGCTGATAATTCCCCTTGTAAAGCGTTACCTCGCGCATATCTTTAAAAAAATAATAAAAAAAAATTTAAAAAAAACGTTCGTTGAAAAACTTAACCCGCTGCCATTTTTGTGGTGCATAGAAAGGGTTCAGCAGGGCGCGATAGTGCAGCCCCGCGGGAATGAATTTCCGAAATTACCCAACGAGCATTTGCGGATGGCACTGGAGTTGAAGACAGACCTGAGGGAATTCGAAGGGATTATTTATGGAATTACTTATGGGTTGGTGCCAAAAAGGGCAACAGGCTGACGTAATTGTTGCCTCTCGGAGAGGGGGATAGTTCGCTGTGATCGACTGCATCAAAACTGTCCCGGATTATGACGAATGGTGAGTCACAAGATAATTTAAATATTTCAAATAGAACACAGCAAAGTAACAAGACTGACCCTTTGTTTGATCAAAGGGTAACAGTGAACGCTCAAGAAAGCGATCGCTTGCTCATCAGATAATCAAAACTCACAACCGACAGACCGGCATTGTGGTGGCGCTTGACGTAAACTAAGTGATATGGTGTCGTCCAATAGCACCACAGTGACGTTCAAGCTCACGATTGGATGATACCGTCAACAGCTGATTTACGTCCAGCGTCACTGCGAATAAACCGAAATATAAATAACCAAAGAACAATTTCGGAATCACGAGTGAGTGTGTCGTGGAGTGAGGAGCGCAAAGAGACCGTAGAAAATAGCATTCCAACATAGAAAATGCTAATTAAAGAGGCCGCAAACATAAATAGCAGCTTTGGCAGCCCCCCTCTCCCCAGGGAGTAGAGGGTTATCCGGAAAGTCGGGCACCGTCACATGGAGCCACTCGGTGGCGCCACCCATAATTAGGTCGTTACCGACACGTCTGTAAAGTTAACATAGCAAATTTTTTTAAAAAAATATTGAAATTAAACTCAAAATGTGTCGCTTTTTTGTTGCTAAATTGTTACGCAAAAATAGAATTTCTCTCTCTTCATTTGACCCTGTTATTAATCATTCAGCAATGTCAAGAAAGCAAGAAATTACACATAAATAAAAGACAATTACATGGGAATGTGTCACTTTTTTGCCGCTCAATAGTTCCCAAAAAATAAATTTTGTTACTCTTTAAATAATACCATAAATGCAATTTTCCGCAAACGCGGTGCTAAATTGTCAAATTAGTACCGCAATCTGAAGAAAACCAAGAAATTACTAATTACTCTCGCTCGGGTCCGCTCTCCCGCTCTTTCTTACGCGCACGCTCTCTAGTTCTCTCTTATATCTCTCTCTCTCTCTTGCTATCTATCTTTCTCTCTCTCTTGCTATCTCTCTCCCTCTCTTGCTATCTCTCTCCCTCTCTTGCTATCTCTCTCCCTCTCTTGCTATCTCTCTCCCTCTTGCTATCTCTCTCCCTCTCTTGCTATCTCTCTCTCTCTTGCTATCTCTCTCTCTCTCTTGCTATCTCTCTCTCTTGCTATCTCTCTCTCTTGCTATCTCTCTCTTGTTATCCCTCTCTCTCTCTTGCTATCTCTCTCTCTTGCTATCTCTCTCTCTCTCTCTCTCTCTCGCTATCTCTGTTGCTCTTTCGCTGTCTTCTTTATAGCCTTGCTGTTGCATGACGTCATCCGTCTCTTAAGCAGTTTTTGAGAATTCAGTCGGTAGGTGCAGTATCAGAAACGACATAAGAACACAATCAAAAGTTTGCATTTTTCAGAAAAATTGAAACTGTATCATCGTTTTGGCATTTTTTTCGAGATCCTGGGTATCTAACGAAACTGGTTATCTCCTGAGTATCTAACACCTCTCACATGACCATGGGCTGCTTAGTTACCTATCAATTTCTGCAGTCATACGAAACAAGTAATATGGATTCTAATCGGGTCCATCAGCTGCAATCTGCCAGCCACAACTGGCTAACTGAGTGCCGCGAAATAATCTGAACATTGTTTCATTTATTTGGATTTTTTGGTGAAAATCGAAATTGTTTCTTTGCTTTTTTATTTTTCCAAAATCCTGGATATTTGCAAAACCTTTGACACCACCCACATGGCCATAATCTTCTTAGTTCTCTTTAAATTTCTGCGCGTAATAAAGTGATAAATCTAATTTACTTTTTGATAAACTAAATAAATAATGAAACAACGCACCCTTTTGTCGTTCATAACTTCTGTGAGATAGCATCCCGCATGGCAAGGCGAATAAAATGTTGTGAATGACTCTGTTACGCATATAGGGGTGTACTTCATCTCTCTTCCACAGTCGCAAGCGGAGTTACATGGTGCAGTCAGATTCCAGCTGGGGAATACCAAAAGAACAAAAATCACTCATTTTATTGCAATATTTTTTACTAAATTACACACGTGTATATTAATTAAGAATACTGCAATAGTTTACAATTTATGTTTCATCTTCTCTTCCTTCTCCTCCTTGATTGTCTTGATCTTCCTCCTCCTCCTTCTATACCTCGAATATCATTTTACGCATTTGCTGTTCATTTATAAATCAGGCTCGGCTCCAGATAAGGGAATTACCTACAATAGCGAACTTTGGAATTACCACAACTCCTTAAAAAATCAAAAGCGTGTATCAAATCAACCCCACCTGATGGGGCCAATACGATACCTATATTGATGGGTCTTAGCGCCGTCGTGACTGGTTTGAGAGGTGCTTAGCACCAGGGCGGCAAAAATTAGAATTCTTATTTAAAACTTTGAATGAAAAAAGAATTGTAATATATATCAAAGAGCAATGCACTTTTAGCCCTGCGAGTTAGTGAACTACGTAGAAGTATAACCATAGACACAAAAGTTTCATATTTCACCAGTCACATGAAATAAACAGAACAGTTTATAGGGCGCCGTTGTTCTTTCGGATATTTCGTCCGTCTGTGGTCAACGCTAGCGCCTTTTTCTTACGGTTTTCTTGAAAACTGATATTCCCTCATTGATCTGGAGGAGCTCGAGACTCTGCGAATTAGAAACGGATATGTAGATTTTTGCAAAACTTTACATGAAGACTCAACAAGATTTTCAAAATTTTCGCAGAAATGGCTTCATTTTTTTAAGAAATTTAATGAAGAAATGAATGAGAACTTAAAGATGATTTCAGGAGACTATTTTGGAAGAACCAGAGGGGGTCTACCTTCGCTACAATTAATTTTTTAAGAAGAAGTTAAAAGGTTTAATTTTTTGCTTAATATTTACTTTTACTTGAAGGAAATCTTAATTATTTTTGTGAAAACCCAATTTTTTCATTCACAAGCCGCTGTTATTGGGAACGACTGAACTAGGAAATCTCGAGACAGGTAAATGGCTTGATTCAAAGTGTATAACTCTAATGCTTATAATCTGTATTATTAATGCGCATTAAAAAGTTAATTTGTAAATTAAAAAAGAAAAAACATCATTAGAAATCATCATGTTTGATTATTAGCGACATTTTTTCTTTGATACGTATTTTCTGGCTGAGCCTGTGTGCTTCTGAGCGCAACGACGAATATTACTTTAAGAGCGTTAACTTTCTCGCACGTAATGTAGATAAAGGTTTGAAATCGTCAAATATTACAATTCAGTATTTTCACAAAAGAAGAGAGTGTGATCTGATACATTTTTAATTTCCCCCCACCCAAGTGGTTTTCCAAAATATAAATAATTTGCGCGAGCAGTTATGTCACCTAAAATGTTGGCAAAAATGCTTTTTTTTTCTTAAGAACATCTAAACGTTGTAATTAAATTTTTCGTTCACTCATCCAAATATCATTTCATGTTTTGCAACTCACCGTACTCCGGAACCTAGTAGATTAACAAATATTGAAGGATCAAGATTAGTGTGTTCACTTATACATGCCCCATCTGGTCAACGAGTAGTCAAGCCGAATCAAAAGAAAATTTTAGATACGAGTATTAAAGCGATATACCTGCCATCGTTGCCAAAGGTCCCTTGCAATCGGTTAGCGGGACAACCCAAGAAGGCCCAGCTGCTATAGCCTACCACGTCCAGCACCTCGGCGAATATGTTCCACGCTGCCAGGAGTCGTGGCCGGGGGCGGAATTGCGTGATCAGCCACCCCGACGCCAATACACCCAGTGCGGAAAACACTAGGCCCACGGTACCTGTAAAGCAACAATAGAGAGTAAGTAAATAGAGAGTAGTTGATAGTTGAATATGGCGTTACCAATGTTGTAAATGGTTTTAAAAGTATTTTCATGTATAAAAATTTCTCAATGTCACTGTCTCTGGCATTGGATATACCAATGAATCGTCTACGTAACTGATATTGTTTACTCCCATTCAAAAATTCCCAACAACCAACAGCCTTACATATTACCTCCGTGTAGTGATTAACGTTATTACGCCAATATACAACAAATAACAGAGGGAGAATTGTGCGCGTTTGGCTGACCGGGTGACGCAGCGTCGAAGGCTGTGAGCACACACAAGGTCTGGTTGCCTAAGCCTACAACTTCAGAGGAGAGAGAAATTTGTAAACAAAGGCGATAGCAGAGTGCCATTCAATACTTTCCGTTAATGCTACTTAATAAATCATGTTAATAGGAAATATCAATTTCTTGGCGTATGTGTAAGTTAAGTTCAAGTTAGAGGAATAAATTCTACTAAAGAATTGACACAAAATATACAAATATTGTGACCTTTTGGGGAAACAAATGTTGAATTCAATCACAGTAAACGTATACTGTGGTTCAACATACAGCAATGCTTGAGTAGCATATTATGCGCATTAAAGTATCTAGTTCTGTTTGTTCGCAACGTGTTACACACGGGGAAAGACGATTAAAGTAATAGCTTATTGCAGTTTACATTCATGTTTGCTCGATATGAAATATAAAAATTCTGACACAGAAATCCGTGCTGAAAAAAATTTAAGCTAGTGGGAATGCGCGACATGTCAAAACTTTCTCTCTTCTTAGTGTTATTAAATGCAATAATGTGGATTTTGTAATGAATACTAAACCTGCTGACATATTCTCCACTCCCATGGAAGAAGCAGGTAGCGACATAGTAAAACCGTAGCTGTCTGAAATGGTAAAACAGGCCAAAAAGCTACATCAGCAATACCAAAGAAATGAGGGGCCGCCTCGACTGAAACTGCCATCCTAGAACTGAGGAGGCAGAGAAGTAAAGTCAGAACGCTCCGAAAGAGCTAGAGTGTAAAGATTACATTGAACACGCACAGGACACAATTGTTTCAGATTTGAAGAAAAAGGTTAGCGAACAGAAAGGTATTTAATAAATCAACATCTTTACAAAAAAACTCACTAGTAGCATCGTATATTGTGATTGCAGAGATAACGAAAACTAAAAACCCATTTTACTGATGGCGAGTTTATTAAGAGTAGTATGTAGAAACAACTCGAGCTTTTGGCGAAGAAAGACTTTCTAATGACTTCAAAAATGTTTCACTTTCGAAACAAACTGTCACTAGAAGTGTTAAAGAATTAAGCAATCACATATTAAAAAAATAAGTAACATTATTTCGGCCTCTGCTTATTTTTCTGGTTTTGGATGAGTCCACTGAAGTAACAGACACTGCTCATTTGATAATTTTTGTCTGAACTGTAGCTAAAAGGATTTCAGTCAGTGAAGGGCTGTCGATATCATAGAGTCTGCATAGTACAACAAAGAGTCAAGACTTTCGATTCATTCATTCCACGTCAAATCGAACAAATTCGACGAAAAATTGACCTTGATTTTTTTAAACTTTGTGTATCCATTGTAGTAGCAAAAATAACTCTCACGTGTTTTTTTTAATTTTCATAAAAGTCGTATATTTTCAGAGTAATTCGAAATTAAAAATTACAAACTAACGCGCGTAGTCGTATATAAATGCTCATAACTGCTTTACTAAAAAAGCTAAGGAATTCAAAGTAGATTCATTTTATAGATTATAATAAGACTTAATTTGTACTAAAATTATACAAAATAGAATTTGTTTATTTTTCCTAGCTTTTTAACTTTAAATTTTAATTTTTTAAGTTCCCAAACATTTTAATATAAACAAAATCACTAAATTTCATACTTTTTATTGTATGATTGTGCAAAATTTCATAATGGGATATGCATAAATACAGTTGCAACAAATTAACTTTGCCAATCGAACCTCCGACATGAGGAGGACAGCGGCATCCAAGTTCGCAGCATATGAAGTCAAATGCACTCAGTCTATTTATCATTAAAATGAGAATGTTAGAAATGAGTCGTTGAAATTGTAGAAGTAGTAGGTGAAGTTCAAATCGTTCATTAATATACATTTTACATAAGTCAATAAAATAATAGACCCACGAAAGTGTATATTTGTATAACCAGTTTCGCTTTTTCATACCAGTCACATTCTTGTTTATGGTCATGAATCATCAAGAACATATAATGAAAACCACTAACATTTTTTTGGTCACTCGAATAATTTCTGTGGTGTAATTCGATCACGAAATGGCTGCAGATTTTCTCGCGTGGCCAATCTTTTGGTGGTGTCGCCAATTCCATTACGAGGCTACTCTTCCCCATGGGAAGTAACCAAGATATAGCCATTCAGAATGGACACCAAAATCTTTTTCGTGAAATCATAAAATAAACTTTTTTACGACTTTTATATTGCGCACTTGCTCCATCTGAAAAAAAAAATATATTACATTTTTGACATTACCTACTTTAAGTTTGAGAAATTCAATTGAATGTTTCTGGAAGCGGTGAATTGCATTTGTACCATGTTTTAAGTTTTCCGACATTGTTATTACTTTTGTTCCTGAGATGACTATTATATTTGGTTTGCATAACAAAGGGGCGAAGTGTGTCCTGATTCTTCATTCTAATGTGTTCCTTCACCTGAATTTTGAACTACGATGAAATAGGATATCACACGCCTAAAGTTTTTCTTCTTGTATCTGTCACAGTGATATTTGAGAATGAATGTTTTAAAGTTAAAATCATGTCTTGGGTGTCAGATATTACTCTACCGGATGTGTCTCGTCCTGACGAGGCTGAAGTGGGACCGAGTTCACGAAAAGTTAAAGAAATATCCGTAGAAACCTTGACGAGGGCGCTCATCTGATTTTCGAAGAAGGGCCTCTTCGTTCGTCTGGAAGAGACGTATGAATTTCCCGCACTGTGTCCGCCGATGACATACATACAAACATAACAAACAAACAAAAAAAACTCCCTCCAAAGCTTCAGGTTTAAAAAGTCCTGTAATCGTACCAAAACATTTAAAAATGCGACAAATGGGACGACTACACCCAGCAATGAGACTTCAGTAAACATGTGGATTACTTGTATCAGAGGAGATATGTTGTATAACTTTTGGAGAATAAAATATTATAAAGTCGAACACACCTTTTATTTACTGAAAATTTCATTCCAAAAGCATTGAACGGATCTTGTCGGCTATTGTAACACATGACGCCGAAGCAATCGTTGGTTCTCAGATAAGCATGGTTGGTTTATTCAGAACGGCTAGGCTTAACTGCCCAGCATTACATTACATTATTCATCAGGAAGCATTGTGTGGTAAACTTCTGGAGATGGCAGGTATAATGAAAATTGTCAAAAAATGTGTGAACACGATTAAAGGGGGAATCAATCCTTGACGAAGGATAAATTCATGGCATTTTTGTCAGAAGTGGAGGCAGAGTATGGTGACACCATTCACGGATGTACACTGGTTAAGTAAAATAAACTGCTTAAAGCAATTCTTTTCTTTGAGAAAAGAAGTAACTGAATTTCTTAATGTACATGTCAGAATACCTAGTTCGTTGGCAATGAAAGACAAGCCTCATAATTTACATTTTTTGTTTAACTTGGCTTTTATAACAGACATTACTGCACCTGGATGGGTTGAACTTGAAGCTACAGAGTCGAAATCAAACCATGCCTGAGTTAGTTGGGCATTTAGACGGATTTGTAAGTCGACTGAACATTTTCGAATTCACACTAAAAAGCACAATGCATATTATCTCATGCAAAGAAATCATGGAAGAACAAGTCAAATTCAGTCAAATTAGACACAAGCATTGCATTTTTGAGTTTCATGCCAGAAGAAAAATATCCCAAACAACATGACTTTAGCAGAAAAATAACTTGAAGATCTCGCTCAAGCGGTGTAAAAAAAACTTCTAACGCGCGGTGTAGCTAGAATCCATGTTTTGTAGGTTCTTGATACCGGAAAGTCTATTGACGGCAAAAATCTGTATGCATCTGTCCGTCTGTGAACAACGTTAGCGGCCAAACTGTTCAGCCGATTTTCTCCAGAATTGATATTCCCCGAGCGATTTGTCTGATGTCGTGTCCCCTAGAATTTGAAATCGATATTTTAAATTTGGGGGTACTTTACATGAAGCCCATGGGACATTTTCAAACTTTTTCAAAAACATGAGTACATTTTGTGAAATTTTGTGACAAACATAAGCAATTTTTTATTTTCTTTAAACCACTTTTTCTTAAAAACCTCACATTTAAAAAGAATTAAATTGGGAACTTGGACAGCATAAAAGACACTTAAGAAAAGTATGCATGTCTCACGTTCATTAAAATGCGTGACTGCGGAAATTAAAATAAGAAATTGGCATCTTCCTACAAATACAATAGTGACGATACATTTTTTCTGGATGGAATGTGTTCATAGAAAGTAGATCTTTAAATAAGGCCATGTTCAATTTTTTGAAAATATATTGTTTTTTAGTAATTTCGCGACAAATGTAATAGTCCGCTCGAATTGACTGCGCTTCGTTTCCGGCGTCTTCTTATAAGTACAATTGCAGAATGAAAAGAAGTTATAACTGTCAAATTGTTGTGGATATTTACTTGAAAATATATAGTTTTCACTGCAAATGCTCAACTATTTGTCATGAGTAGAACCTGGAACATAACGCATTGAAAAAAGTTCACGCAATCATGCATTTTAAATAGACAATACTTAATGACAATGCTTAAATCTCAGAATGTGTGTTAAACAAAAATATAGAGAGCAACAGATAACATTTATTTATATAAATCTTTATTTTACTTTGGAGTACAATGCGCGTATAATAAAAATATATTTTCAAACTATAATTAAAAAACGTTATGCAACGAAAATGACTCACTTCTACGCACAAACCTGGAATATTTGCTCTTAGCATGTCACATCAATAAAAATATGCAGTTAACGAAAAATATCCCAAAAATATGCAATTATGGGAAATAAAAACGGGCTACTTTTGTTTTATTTTTGGTGGTAGGTAAAGTTATATAAATTTCCTTTCGATATGCGCAGTCAGTAAAAATATGCAATTGCATGAAGTTCCTCCGTCTAGAAATGAGTAAATGGTGTTACAATTACATTGTATGTGAAAGTATGAGCCAGTACTTACGATTGCGATTAATTTTGCAGCAGTTTTTTTATTAATTACTTTTCAGAATGCCCGGTGAGGTATGCTATATGCCAATTAATATCATCTGAACCCTAAAAAAATTACTGCGGATTGAATAATAGACAAACGTACATTAAGCGCATAACGTCTTCAAAAACAAAAAACAAAAACAAAAAAAGAAATGCGTTTGCGAAAGTCTTTCCATAAGAGCCTGTATAATTTAAACTTCTTTTATTAAAAAAATAGGTCAGTAAGGGCCAAATTGTTTTTACCATCTTGAAGAACAGAGGTTTACTTCCATTTAAAGTATTTTTTGGGGTTATATCACCGTAGTCAATCTAACGAACATATTACCTTAAGTTTTATCTTTCTGCACTTCATTTCAGGCGGCGTCGATACATAGAGGCGGTAATAAATTAACTTAATATTACAAATCGTAGAATATTAGTAATTTAATTAGTTTATTAGTATTAGATATATTTATCAACTGTGTATAATGTACTACGACTAACTGATAAAAAACTTGTAATCTGAATACAGATGGAAATACGCGTTTTTGCAAAGAATTGTTAGCGAATGCACATAGTTTTAAAAACGCTGCGCTGGGAACCATGCGTTGCTCTCTTCTGTATAATTTGTTGCAAATACTGTATCAGTCAAATGTATTCGTTTTTGTTTCATTTGTCAAAGTATAAAATGATTGCTGCTCCTCACTATGAAAATATATATGCATCACAGGCGCTTTGTTTTTTAATTGGAGTTTTCAAGTATTGGTTTAGGTGTTAGTAACGCAGGAAATGCAATACGTTAATATTACGTAGCTGTTTCCAATAACGCGAGAAATTGAGCTGTTGTAGCTCCACTAGTTGGATGAAAACATTTCAATTAAAAATCTTAACAATTGCAGTTGTAGGAAGACGCGGAAAATTTTTAAAATTTTTAATTTCTCGAAAAATTAGGCATTTCAAAGAACAGAATACCTGTACCATTCTCTTAAGAGTCCTTTACGCTGTCTAAAGTCAAAATTTAAGCACAAAATTGTGTGCGAAGAAATTCTTTAGAGAAAATAAAAATTGCTTATGATTAACACAAAATATTGATGAACACATTTCATTAAGAAAAAAATGTATATCTTCAGAATTGTAGTTGTGCGAAGATGCCGAAAAAAATTCGGTTTTGCAATTTTCAGAAATCAGTGTTTTTAACGAGACTTACACCATTCTCTTAAGCGTTCTATATGCAATCCGAGGTCACAACTTAATCAAAATTGTTGATGCCATTTTTGAGAAAAAATTGATTAAACAAAATTTACAATTATTATTTTTTGCAATTTACAAAATTTATTTCACAATTCTAAGATTTTCAAAAAATGTTGCACGACTTTATTTCAAAATCTATCTTTAAGGAACATATTTCACTAAGAAAAATCTCTATCTTTGATATTTTAGTTGTAGAAAGACGCCGAAAAAATTTTGAACTTTTCTAACTTTCGAAAAAACAGTGTTTTCAACGAACATGGTACCTGCACCATTCTCTTAAACGCATTTCACACAGTCTAACAACAAAGTTTAATAAAAAACTGAAGCCTTTTTTTAAATTTTGAAAATTTCTCAGGGGACTTCATGTAAATAACCCCCTACAATTAAAATACCGATTTCAAATTTAAGGGACCGCGACATTAGCATTGGGGAATATCAAGTTTGGAGAAAATAGGGCCGAATGGTTTAGCCGTTAGCGTTATTCACAGACAGCCACAGAGACGGACGGATAGCCGGTTTGCTGCCAATCGATTTTTCGGTATCAAGGACCCACGAAAATGGATTTGGACTACTCCTCGCGTTAGAGGATTTGTTTTTCTACTTTAAGCAACTTGATTTTTCCACGTTTTCATTACCAGAGCTCGGCAAAGAGTTTTTGTCGAAAATGTGCTGATTTTTTCCGCAGCATCACATAACTTTCTCTCTACTGCGTAAGCGGTAGCGAGAAAGTAAAAGGGGTTGAGCTGAGCTGCGCTGCTGATACGCATACTGTGGCACAACCAGTGAGCTTTAGTGTGGACTGGAGACAAGACTGTGCTGAGAAACCGTGAAGGTCCGTCAAGATGGTGAATGTCTATTTTGTTCTCGTTATGTTGGAAACAAATAGCAGGAATTACTCCTTATTAGAATTTAAAACATTCATTCTCTTCTAGGTTCACGAAAACTGAATGAAAAGTTGGAAACGAATAGTTAATTCTTGATAAATGCGGTTTACCTACAATACTTTAACAAAATCCAATCTTCCATTACCAGATTTGTTTCTAATATTCACACAGTGAAGTGTTTTTGTTTTGAGTATTTTTAATATTTTTCTTTACTTCAACTTATGGCAAATAATTGTCCTTTTGAAAAAGAAAACCTAAAAGATAACATTAAAGTAATGGCTACCAAATAATACTCAGTTCTGCAGTCTCATTAAGTTTACTGTACATGATTACATGCCTGTGAAACTGAATACTATTTCCATTTTGTTATCGTTCTTTACAACCGAATGGACGAAATACTTTGGCATTTTCATTGATAGAGACAATTTTAAGCATCAGTAACAACACACAAGACGCATAAAATCAACACCCCGCGACAGGCTGACATCCCTCTTCACGATCTGTTGAAAATACCAACTGCTTCCATTCAAATTTTGTTCGCCCGCAGTATTCTCACTAGCAATAGCCATTTAATAAATAGTTTCATTAATGCTAGGCACAGAAAACTAGTAGTAGCAGTAGGTACGAAATCTATTATTTGTGTGACTTATATTTTGATATTGTGTCGTGATATGTTTTTGAAGGCATAGACCTAATAGTACAAACTTTGTATTTTGTGTAAACAACATAATTAAAATGAAACTAAAATACATTTGTTATATTATTATCCTCACGTCATTTGATATCGAACTTGACATCAAAATTCATGTAATGGTATTTTGCATAACTCTTCCTGAATCTTATATATTTTGTTTATTGATGTATACAAATTTCTTTGAATTAGTTGTGCAATTCTCCTTCATTTATAAAAAAAAAGTTTGTCCTCGGGGAGTAAGAAGTTGGCCTTCCGTGCTCTAGTACATACTCTCAAACAGCGAGAGACTCCCCTCCTCTTACACGCCTATATTTCTCCATGGAATACGTATAACGAAAAAGATCCCCAGAAACTTTATAATCACATTCAACGAACGACTACATAACCTCCCAACATCGAACAACTTCGTTTACGAGAGGAAGTAAATCACCTAATATTTAAGTATAAGTAACGCCATCACGTTAGTAACTAATCTTTATGCTCAATAAGAGTGAATGTCAAATTTCTCTTATTTTCAGGGCACTACTTTTAACTCATCTCATTACTGATGAGTAATTAATTAGTTACAACGGCTTTGTAATAGTATTAAGTTTCTAAGTTTGGAGTACAGTTTAGCAAATTTTATTAAATTATTACAAAATCCAGATTTTACACAACTGTACAAACTTTCAAAGACGTCGTCTGAAAAGAAGGGAAATTTGTCTTAACTACTCATTTACTGCGCAAACAGAAATCGTAACACAGTAGAGATGGAACGTAAAGCGAGCACATGACTGTGCACAAAGTAATTGTGTGATTCATAATGTACATACACTATGTCTTAAATAATCAATTTTCTAGTGCTGTCAGTAATTATTGTCTTATCTTCCTTTGTAACGAGAAAGGCACACTTGTAAAATTTCACAGCATTCAAACTACCTTGCTACCATTCAATTATAAATATTAAGTGACCAGTTACTTCGTTGTTAACTCATTATTTACGATCACTTATCAGTTTTAATAGTTTAAATAGGAACAAATTTCACTACGGTGGAATAAAAGTCATCATCTTAGGGTGTATAAAATGATTGCGAAGTCTAGAAGTTTTTTGTTTCTTCGTTGTTGAAAAATGAAAAATAGATGGCTTTTATTTCATATTGATCCTTGAAATGGGGTAATCAATGAATTTTGGCGATAAGTATTTAAAATTCATCATCGATAAATTGTATAAACATAATGAAAAGTGACAGACAACCAAGATCAACATCGAAACAACACGAATTCAGCAACGAAAAAATTAACAGATAACATGCTGTAACTCTTCTAGAATCATATTACAACTCCTTTTACCACCTTCAAAGGCAATCGACGATCATGTGCGGACAGGCAAGTGGGAAAAATAAGGACAGTTGCAACCCCTGTCCTGCAGAAAAGCAAGAGAACGAGAAAGATCGCGATAAACGCCAATCAGGCGATAAACGCGAGTCTCGCGATTCTGGTCGCAGCGGATCGTCACGGAATAACCAGGATTCGAAACAGAAGTCAGGTAGGGATAAGGATACAGATGGGGATAGGGGCGGGGGCGGGGGCAGGGGCAGAGACAGAGATAGGGATGGAGACAAGGGCAGAGACAGAAGAGATAGCAGAAGTAGTAACAGGGATAGAGACGGGGACAGGGACAGGGACAGAGATAGGGACAGGAGCAGAGATAGCAGAAGTAGAGACAGGGATAGAAGCGGGGATAAAGACAAAGACAAATGCAAGGATAAGTGTAAAGATCTAGTAAAAGAGTGGAAGAAAAAACAGAAGGAATGGGAGAAACAGGAGGAGAAAGAGAAAAAAGAAAAAGAAAAGAAGAAGAAAAAGAAGAAACCACCGCAGTGTCCAGGAGCTCCGCCTCCTAAATGCGGACCAGCGTGCTAGAATGGTAAGTATTTCAATATTTACATCAAGGGAATAATTGGAAAAATAGTAGTGAATACGAGTGATCTGTACTTGCGGGTGTTTTTTGTACTTGCGGGTGCTTACGTTGCAAAGTAGATCTTCAAGATATTTCTGTGTTCCTTGTCTAATTATTTTCAGAAAGCCTACAGTAATAGGAAAGACACGCCTGTTAGTGTTCCATATTTTGGCGATTTTACTCTTAAATTACTCTTTACTTACTTTACTTTTTAAATTGGTATTAATCGAAACTGCAACATCAACAGGAAAATATATCTGGTACGAGTACTTTTTGTTATAATTAAATACCTGATTCTGGTGTTACTGCATCTTTTCATCGTTAACTTATAATTGGATGAACCCTTGACAGAAATTTTAATCACGAATAAGACCTTATTTTACTATTACTCGCGCAACTTTTCTTGAACAATGACCTTGCTTCCCCCCACAACAAACGGCAAGGCAACAGCTCGCAGGCAACTTAAAGGCAAAAGCTCGCAGCGAGCACTGATGACAAAGCAAAAATATTAAAGCATGAACAACCAGCCAAATCACTCAACACTTTTATTACCTCCGTAACAATTAACTTTATTTTCCATAAATTAATACCCTACCATTACAAACACATCTTCACTGGCGTGAAATAGAAGAAAAAAATTATTTTCAAGGCGAGAATTTCTATCCATTATTTTCCCCCAAAAAAATCTAAAGAAATGACTGGAGCAGGTAAAGATCTATCACAGGAGATACCTCGAACTCCAGAGAAAGAACGCAAATTATTGAGAATGTTGCGAAGGCATTACCTGGGCATGACTGATTCTCCAGACTGACATTGCTTCATAAAATCTAGTAGCCGATTTCGTAACTAATTCTCCCACTCTACCCGCATTTCTTCAATCCATCGTTCAAGAAAAGTTGCGCGAGTAATACGTGTTTTATTTTGCACGAAATTGCACGTTTCGGGGGTTACTGCACGATATTGCACGTTATATGTAATGCTGTCTGAAAATTACACATTTTGGGATTTTACTGAACGAATTCGCAAGATTCATAGTTTTATTGTATAAAATACAATTTTTATATTATCAACTTGTTTTAATTTATCTTTTTTAAACATTTCATTTAAGAAAAATGTTTTATGACAATCTAGTAATGCATTTGGATGGTCTGTGAAACATGAGTGCCGTTCAATATGTATCAATTCTGCTTTATGTTGCCCTATGAAGTGAGCGTCTGTACCTTTAATGATGCCTACTGTCTAAATCAAATTTCTGAATAATTGCAGCAGGGGTATATCCGCGACCCTTAGTTGCGGGCATCTCAGTAAACGCTATGTTCCGAATCTGTCTTCCTTATCGGATCATACATCCGTTTCGACAGTCTTCCCTGAACTTACCAACACGAGATGGCATGCGCGAGTCATATTTGTCCTTACGTCCGGGCGCGATGCTAAGTGGAAAGCTGCACAGCGTTTCAAATTCATCGAATTTCTCGGAACAGACGTTGCCCCGGGAGGTTCAAGAGAGAATGAAAGCAGTTCACACCACTTTTAGCAGCGGTCACGTAAGTCAGAGTGAGGGTCGGTACACAGACAAGTATACATTAAATGTAGAATGAAGTTTTTCCTGGCTGAAGCATGTATTAGTTGATAGAAGATATAATTATTTCAAAAAAAATAATTTGTAAATATACTAATTGTGTATTATAGTGAAAACAATTAAAAACATTTATTATGTAACTTAATTTTTTTTTTAATTTCTGATGGTATATTTGCATTTTTCAATTTTTGTTTTTGCGTTTTTATGTTTTATACTAATTTTATTGCATGTTTTTGTACGTTTTGATGTTTTAGTGCACGTTTTAGGGAGTGCACAAAAATCTTATCTTTAGTTATGACAGAATTCGTGAAGACTATTTTTTGTTTAAATATTTAATTTATTACTTTGTTATACGTAAGCATTTCATTTGTTAGTCTTGAGCAGTGTGCGAGCTCCTTTTTGGAAAATCATTTTGTGTGATTTTTTCCAGCAGCATTTGAACGGCTGTGTGCCGCTAGTTACAGTCATTACAGTCATACAGTCATTAAATAAAAATGTATTCTCACTTGTGGCCATGGATGCTTTTTATGAAATATTTCCCACAAAAATTTATTTTCTACTGTAAAATTGTGGTTTTGTCAGATACATTCTTCTTCCGGGCAACTTTTAAATTGTAGGACTGAACTAATACATAAAATAAGCAAAAAGTATAATACTGAGATAGTGAAGAAGCTTGATCAACAAGATAAAACTAGTACTTTCTAATTAGGAAAGATATGCAATTACTAATCACTACTTAATATCAATGTTCAAAATTTGAAGAAAAAAAATATGGGACACCTAATTTTTCTCCTGAATATATTGCGAAATATCAAAAGACACACGCCTAGTTATTAGATGTTCTCTTTTACTTTACATTATTATTTTAGTTCTCAGGACAACATAATGCTGAATTGATACAAATTGAACGGCATAATGAATATATTAAAAATGTAATAATCACAACAATCGCACATGCAATATTTCGTTCTATTAATTAATAAAACACTGATTAAAGGTGTATGTAGTATTAAAACAGGGGAGCTATTTATTATTCATTAATAAAACCACCTCAACAGTAGTTCAATGGTTCATGGGAAACTAGACGAATAACCTGGTGGCACATACGCGGAGAAACTAGACGACTGTTACAGGCAAAAGAAGTGTTTTTAGAATTATCGTACCGGATATGAAAATCTACAATTGTATCAAGATTGATCTTTTAAGACTGTATTATTTTAGATATTTGCACTCATTTCAGACTATTTTTTACTTTTCCCCCTTCCTTCGTAAGAAGAGAAAGTATTGTAATCATGTGCCGTAACGCGGCGAATTTTTGACAGAAAAACGCTCAATGTAGTGCCCTGGTATTGAAAAATTGGATAAATCATGCTCCTGCGCATTGTAAATTACTTCCTATTATAAATTACGTAGCGTAGACATAATCCATGTTTTGTGGGTCCTTGATGACAAAATCGATTGACGGCAAAATGTCTGTCCGTCTGTCTGTCCGCCTATGGCCAATGATGGACCTAAGCTATTCAACCGATTTTCTCCAAACTTGGTATTCACCTCGTATCAGAACGACCTCCACATTTTTCGAGTTTGAAACATCTTTTAGCTTTTTCAAAATATTCTCAAAAATGGCACAATGTTTGTTTTTTTTTATCAAACTCTCGTAAGGACGCTTGATAACCGTGCAGAACTCCTTTTCTTCTAAATCTTCGATTTTTTGAAAATTGCTAAAATTCTTTTTTTTTTCTGCGTCTTCCTACATTGAAGAAAATGTTTTTGTCCCTTAACGATATCTGTTCTTTTAAGACAGATCCTAAAATAAGGTCATGTACAATTTTTCGAAAATACGAGTAGTTTTCGCATAATTTTGAGTGGAATTGAGGCTTTTATTTTTTAAACAATTATTTCCCTCAAAATGGCTCTAATTATTATCTTTAAATTTTTTCATCATATGAATTAAACGACAGTAAAAAAATGATGCTGGTCTCATTTCAAGTGAGCATATTTTCGAAAATTGTAAAATTTTAACACTTCAAAACTACAAACATGAAGATAACGATTTTTGTCTTATACGAATTGTACTAGAAACTCAGCTCTTTAAAAAACGTCAAATACAATTGTTATTAAGAAACAAGTAGATTTCACGTAATTTATGATAGAAGTTAACGCAAATTATAAAAAGTATTTTCTCAAAAACTACCCCAATTTTTTTTCTTTAAATTGTTTCATGTGTAAAACAAATGAGGCTTAAAATAATTGCGTAGTTCTCATTTTTGTTGATCTCTCTAATTTTTCAAAAATTGCATGTTGGAAATATTGGGTTCAGAAAATTAGGTTTTTAAGCATCGGCCCGAGTTTGAACATCAGACCGATTCCATAGCGTAGAAATATGGCGCACACTCGGAGGACCTGATTTCGAGTCTCGGTGCGGAAAAAACATTTTTTTAAAAACACATTTGCACATTTACATTAAAGTATAATGTGTAGCAGTTATAAATAATCTGAGAAAATATGTTCTGTAGTAGAAGCACTAGTTTTAAAAAGGAAGCAGAAAATATTTTGCTGCAAATTGTTTCATTTTTGCCATTTTTTGTAAAGTGGATCACATTCTTGTCAATAAATGTTCGATGATATTCCATTTGAAAAAAGGAGTACGAATGGTTGAGTTTTGAATAATGCAGACAATGTAATGTCTCAAATACAGCTGCCAGCTGCTAACAGGAAAAAAGTGTTATACTCCATTGTATAATTTGAAATTTTACCTCTGTCAATGTCAGAAACATCGGCTTTAAAATATTACAGAAATATACTAAAGTAAAACAAATGATCTTCAAGTGAACGCAATTTCAGAGCGGATCAGTTCCCTGAATTTTATTATTGTCTATTTTCATCAGAAATAAAATTACTCTCTATATTTAACTTTTTTTTGTGCTAGGTCTCTTTTGCTGATACCTCGTCAACTCGAAGTTCCTTCGTCGAAGCTGTCCTGGTTGCAGCTCTGTTGGTCCTCGATTGCGGAACCCGATTAATAGAGCAATATTGCATAACATGCAATATTTTCTGCGCCTCGCCATCTGCTAGTTATTGGAACCCTTCAGATCATCGTGTGAATAAAAAAACATTTTTCCCACCATATGTTCGTCGAATGTATTCACATTTTGTCGATTTATTATATCCTTTGAATGAAGCCAAGTAATAAGAAAAGTAACATCATCAAGAAAAATGAAAATATAAATAAAAAAAGGAAAACCAAAAGATAACGGAAAATGTCATTATAAATAACAGAAAAAAGGTCTTCTGCAATAAAGTCAAAAGAAACAAATATACATTTTGCTGAGAAAGATCGAGTTTTGCTGTAAGTTATTATATCCGCACAATCCAAGAATTTCACTCCATACGGTAACTAGCATCCTCTTCGATGCTTGCTAAAGTTTCCGGACAAATCAACAGCTACGGTCATAAGTCCCGTAGTGAATGTTTTATTCCGAGAGGCGGTGACGGCGTTCGTCCCCCATTGGACGGTGAGATTCGGCATCAAGCGGGGCACCATCCCAGGCGGGAAAAGCTCTCAGCTCCCTTGTGGTCTCCCGACATGTGTGGTAGTATAGTATCTATAAGAGTAAGTGTGGACGTAAGTGGAGAGGATAGGACAAGGAGGAGGAAGGAAAGACCTCCCGCGACCGGTGGCTCATTTGTTATGGAACTGCTCCGATATTTGCCAGGTATTGATCGGAGAAACCACAAAAAACTGCCGATCAGAGCAGCCGGCCTCTAAAATTCTCCTCCACACAGCGGCTGAATTCGACCGAGCTATGTAGTTAGTATCGAAAATCCGCCACCATCGGGTCTCTCACCCTAGAACATCCCTATCAGCGTAGCTGCGATCAGTGGAAATGCTGGCTTTGAGCTTAACTCAGACAGTATGTCCATTTCGTGAACTGTAAATGTAAGAGATTTTGTTCGTATTATTTTGCACCTCGGGTGCAACTCAAGTGCTATTGCAAAGGCAGACAAGAATGGTATGATTGCCACACTTTGAGCACTGAGGGGCATTAATATATGCACAGGACTAATATCGTCCCGCGAAAGTTAATAAAATGTTGCAAAAATGTCAATTTTCGACAGAAAAACATTTTGTAAGTCCCTGAAACCGAAAAACTGGACAATTCGTGTCCTATATATATAGTGAATAACTTCCTTTAATACGTTGTGCAGTTATAAAACACTTTCCTGGGCCCTCAATTACGAAAGATTGCTTCGAGGTAAGATGTTTGTCCGTCTCTGATCAATGCTAGAAGCTAAACCGCATGCAAGATGATTTTGAAAATTTATATTCTCTGATCGATTTGTTTTTTGCAGCGGCCCATTGAAGCTGAAATGGGTATTTTATATTTTTGGAAACATTACACGAAACTATCACATTATCCAAACTATACAAATGAACTTCATTTTTTTCTTTTTTTTAAAAAAGGAATACAGCATTTATATAATCGTGTAGGACCGATTTTTGTTGAACTCTGAATTTTCGAACATCGCATTTTTTAGGCGTCTTCCCAGTGGTTTCACAGAAGAGATCATACTTTCACAACAAATATTTTCCTCTTCTCTTAGTTTTGGGCCAGCTTCATAAGTATGGCGCACCCTCTTTCTAGCTACTATCTATCGGAACCTAAAGGACCTAACGTGCACTACCGCCCTCTGTTGACTTTCCCTGTAAAGAACACCTTCGCGCTTGCCGGACACTCCATACATCTGTACCGGTTCCATGTATCTATTTCGGTTCTGAATCTTTAAATATTTTCCCTATTTGCCCTTGGTATCCTTCGGCTTCGTCTCGGAGCTGGGTGAAGGGTAGCAGTTCCTCAGATTGCACACACAGTTGCCTGACAGATGAAATACACGAGGGACTAGGTATGCCCTCAATATAACACAACACACACACACACACACACCACACACACATATATATACTATTAGTACATATAACTATATATAATATATATATATAATATATATATATATATATATATAGTGTGATAGTATATAATATAGATGTGTAATATATATATACTATATATATATAGTACATATAATACTATATATATATATTATTATATATACACCATCTTATATAATCGTGAGGACGATTGTTGAACTTGAATTTTCGAACATCGCATTTTTAGGCGTCTTCCCAGTGGTTTACAGAAGAGATCATACTTTCACACAAATATTTTCCTCTTCTCTTGTTTTGGGCCAGCTTCATAAGTATGGCGCACCCTCTTTCTAGCTACTATCTAATCGGAACCTAAAGGACCTAACCGTGCACTACCGCCCTCTGTTGACTTTCCCTGTAAAGCACACTTCGCGCTTGCGACACTCCATCCATCTGTACGGTTCCATGTATCTATTTTCGGTTCTGAATCTTTAAATATTTTCCCTATTTGCCCTTGGTATCCTTCGGCTTTCGTCTCGGAGCTGGGTGAAGGGTAGCAGTTCCTCAGATTGCACACACAGTTTGCCTGACAGTTGAAATACACGAGGACTAGTATGCCCCTCAATATCACAACAACACACACACACCACACACCACACACACACACACACACACACACACACACATATATATATATATATATATATATATATATATATATATATATATATATATTCTTATATATATACATTTATATAATCGTGCAGGACCGAGTTTTGTTGAACTTTGAATTTTCGAACATCGCATTTTTTTAGGCGTCTTCCCAGTGGTTTTCACAGAAGAGATCATACTTTCACAACAAATATTTTCCTCTTCTCTTGGTTTTGGGCCAGCTTCACAAGTATGGCGCACCCTGTTTCTAGCTACTATCTATCGGCAACTAAAGGACCTAACGTGCACTACCGCACTATAATACACACACACACACACATATATACATATATACATATTTACATATATATACATATATACATACATATACATACATACATATACATACATACATATATATACATACATATACATACATATACATACATACACATACATACATATACATACATATACACATATACATACTTATACATATATACATATTCGTATATACATAATGTAATATTTATATTGAGAAAATATAAATATTTATTTTATTATTTAATCAATAAACACGTACATTTATTGAGATATTTTTTAAAAAAATTCTCTCCCCTATAATAAAAATGTCTTCAAGAATGTCATAGAAGAAGAGAACCAAATTCTATAATTTGACGAACTTTCGAACAACGTTTTGAACCGTTTTCACAGAAAAGTTTTAAGTTTTCGAGAAACTTAATAAGAAATAATTTCAATCGCTTATTAAATGTAAAAGACATGATAGCTTTATAGGAGCTCCATTGAAGTAGTAGTACTAACAAATGCAATAATGCATAAAAAAGACCGTAATGTATTATCAACGTGAGATATATTTAAAAAATGATGTTTTTGTAGTTTTTGAACAATCTAAGGATACATGAACATGGCGATTGTCATGTTATTCAGATCATTTAGCACTATCCGTACCAATTTTTTTAAAGAAAACAATTGAGCGATTTTCAAAAACAATCTCACGCAATAACAACTAAAAGTTTCCAAAAATTGTACAGGACATTAATTAAAGAATGAAATTTGCATATAACAAAAGGTAAATGTAAAGGTATTCTTTCAAGACATTCTTATAATTATATTTAACTCCACTATTAGGGGACAGAAAAATTTAGGAAATATGAAACTAGAGGTCCTACATTATCACACACTTTGTCGCATTACTTTTAACGGCTGTGCAATAATATAATACTTCATGAACGTGGAATAGTTTATTCCACCAGCAAACATTTTTTCACAGCGTTGACACTCGAACTCAGGTCCTAAAAGTAAGCCATTCATGTGACGTCTATACCGCAAACTATAATCACCTTTTCCAATAATTAAAACAAACGATGAACATTTACGTTTGCAATTTTCAAATAATCTGAGATTTTTATTTACATTACTTCAAGTAGTTTTAGAGAACAGCGGTGTCTAATGAACGTTATGTCCCGCAACAGTATAGGCACCCGTCGATTCCGGCGATTGCGAGTGTCGTTCAGCTGCCGCTGCTTTTCACTTACCCAACGTCGCCGACCGTTTGCCTCTCTCTTGAGGTAATTTTAAATAAAACACAAATCAAGTTCCAACACAAAGAAAATATATTGTTCATGAACTCAGGTTAGCACCATCAATCGTCAAATTATTACCTGCTCCGCTTCCGCGGATATCTTGTTCCGAATTCTAGAACCACTGATTAATGTTCTTTGATACCTTTCCCAAGATTTCGCCAATGTTCTAATCTCTTGAAGATGCTTTTTGGGTATTAAAACCAGAATAGTATTGAAAATATCTCGACCTGCATTGAGGCATCCATTTCTTACGAACTAGAGCCAGTCTCTTCCAAACAAACTTGCGTCTATTACAACCGAAGCTACATACCTCAGTTCTCTCTTTCATATGGGTTGATTCAACTTGAACAAATCTATAGTTTCATTTCGTAAGAAACAGTTTTGATTAAGGGGCAAAAATATCTCTAATATTGTACATGTGCAGTGTTATGTTTTGCCAATTACCAAAAACTTAGAGATATCGCCTGCATTCGGTCTTGCGCCATTTTTTAAGCGTCTGATCCAGTATCCGAGGAAACAATTTTAAGAAAAAGAAGCCGTTTTAAAAAGAAAGTTTATAAATTGCATTAACTTCAAGCAAAAGTTACGCAAAAATGTTTCGTTTTTTCCCAATAAATTTTAAATTGATATTTTAAAAATCGATTTTTAGAACAGTTTCTACTAAATGAAAAATAGCAAATTTTCGAGGAAATAACTTTTTAAGCGTCCTTTGCTCTAACCAACGGGAGGGGATTAAACAAAGAATTTGGAGTTGATTTTTAGAAAAATCCCAATATTTTAATTGCCTGTATTTCACGCAAAATTACCTGAAAACTACTAATATTTTCAAGAGATGTACAAGATATATCTTAGAAGAACAGGTTTCAATAAGGGAAAAATCTCTATCTTCAATATTTAAGTTGTAGGAAGAAATTGCAAAAGTTTGATCGTTTGCAATTTTCGAAAATTTGGAGATATCAACGAGATCATGTAAACTGAGACCGACGACATTCTTTCTTTTAAGAGCCCTTTGCGCTGCCCCGGGAAAGAGTTTAATCAAAATATTTGGAGCTATTTTTGAGAAAAAGCTGAAAATGTTGTTAAGGTTTTATGTATAGTATCCCCCAAATCAAAACATCCGTTTCTAATTCTCAGGACCTCAAGTTTCCCTAATCGAAAGGGGAATATCGTTTTGGAAAAAAATCGTTTTAATGAGCTAGACCAGGGGTTTTCAAACAGTGCGTCGCGGCTCTCAGGGGCATCACGGCCTTAAAGTAGGGTCGCCACGGTGATTTATTAAAACCAATCTTTAGATCTGATTTACTTAAATTCTTGTGTCATTTATGTCCACAAAATAATTTTGAACTATCATAGTATAGGTTATATATATATATATATATATATATATATATATATATGATTTATTTTATTAATTAATTACGCATTAATGAAGTTCGCAAGTCCTTTACCAATAAGCTTCTGTAGCTCCCTTAGCATCGACGTACATCCCTAATGCGCGGCGGAGATATTTAATTTTTCTACCCACGCAGATCAAGTGTTCCCGTGCCCACGCGAGCTGTGTTCAACCTGTGTTTAGAGCGAAACTGAACGTTGAAAATGAATTGTGAGTCGCAGTTTCAAATATTGAACCCAGATTTGAATAATTTATGATTAAGCAAGCTCATCCTTCCATTCATTTTTAGAAGAATTTTGTCATACAATTAAAAATTGATTGAAATGTGTTATCTGTTATTTTAATAGCTAATTATAATGTGATTTACTCATTTGTTTTGAAACTTTAGTAGACCTATGTTAACCCTTATAGTTGAAACTTATTGTTACCAGGGGAGCTGAGGGAAGTCTCGTTTAGGTCAAGGGAGCCGTGAACAAAAAAAAGTTTGAAAATGCCTGGCCTACGCCGTAGTGGTGATCACATTATGTCAATAATGTGAAGTTTGCAAAAAAAAAAAAATCCCAAAGAATAGTTTCCAAACAAACTATGATAACGAAATATGTAGATATTGACTACACAAGTGTTATAGGAAGTAATTTACTGCATATAATTACATGATTTATCCACTTTTTTGATATCAGGATCCCAGAACATGAGACTTTCTGTCAGATAAAGGCCTATATTTGGCGCAGCATTACAATATTTTCTTTTTACTATGCAAGTTCACTGTAAGGTGAGAAACTAAGGGCTAACACAGACGAGAATAGGACAAGAACTAGTATGAGAAAATTTCTGCCAATTTGTCGCATCTCTACTGTAACTCAATGTACTTTCCTGGATGATGGCCAATTACGCTTACAAATATGGTACATGTCCGATTATCGTTTAAATCTTTGAACTTCTGATAAATCAAAATCTCCGAAAAATTCAATTTATAATTTCCCGTGTTTCTTTTGCTGAAGAGACTATAATGACATAGTTGAAGATTTACTTGGATACAATTTGCAATATGAATATTCCGTTTCCGTTACAGATAAACCAAGAACGCATGTGCTGTGATAGCATTTTTGAAAATAAGCATTTTGGTAGTTTTAGTTGATAGTTTGCACGTGGTACTGAGGCTGAATTCATATCAGACCGCAATACAAGGATGGCAACGCCACGACCCGGCTGTTTGAGATGTCAATTTTATGAATTTTATTGTAATGCGGGAATTGTTTCTAGCTGTATGGAACGCGGTTTTTGATTACTGATTTTGTACTGATGCATTAGCTTTAAAAAATTGATTTCATATAAAAATACCTAGTGTTACAAAAATAATATTTAAATTATAAAGTGGATATGTTTGTAATTTAACTTCCATGGATTCAGAAGTTCATATATCCTTCTGCAGATTCGGAATCGTTCTCTAGCTACGATCTCTTTTTAAACGAATCAACGCGACCTTAGGGTAATTTGTCTTTCTTGTTTCTATAAAGTCCTTCGAAAACTGTTACCATCGTGATTTAATCATTTTGTTTTCTAGATGGTAAGTAGAGGCAACTATTTCTGACTGCCAAGATAATTACGCGCCACTTATGCGCTACGATTTGTGCGTGATCGCCGAGATATGTCAGTAAGATCAGAAATTGCATTTTTACTTTCCCGTATACGTACGTATATATGAAGTAATATACGTAGTATAGGGAAAGTTAGTAATGCTGCGGAAAATCGATTTCGTGATTTCAACGGAAATACACGTTTCGGGGTTCGGCGATACCGAAACAGTGTTGTTTTTTCAAAACATCCTCCCGTCCGTCTGTCTGGTGTATGTGAACAACACTAGCGCCCGAACCTTTAGGAAGACTTTATCCAAATTCAAGAAACCCCAACCGGTGAAACAAATAGCTGAACCTGCGGCAGCGATTACTGGGATATTAGTTTCCAGCGTATTCAAAGTCCGGAAAGAGCTCACTGTCAAGGGGCAACTTCCAACACCAGAGAAGAAAAGAAAACGGAAGATACTTGTGACTGAAGTATACAACTAAGTCAGTGCAGTTCGATCAAAAGGGCGTTCCTTTTACTTGATAAACAAACCACCAACGCATGCGAAATTGTTGCAGCTTGTGAACAGGGTTCTAAATTTTACGCGAACCATAGTATACGAATTATTGACAACCAAATTTTGTGTTTCAAAGAGGGAGAAGAAATCTTCTTGAGAAGGGGGTAACTGACATCATTTTCCTTCCTAAAGCAGACTGATCCTAAGTAAGCATGACAGCTCTTTTTCAATTTGAATTGGCGAGATATGGTGCTCACGCATTCGACAGTAGTACGCTAGGAGATGTTCAATTAGAAGCGTAGTGTGGCGCAAATATTTCTTCGGTTTCTTTAAATCAGGATTTTTCTTATGGTGAACGGATAATAGTGACAAGAGACCAAAATGACAAAAAATAAAATTTATAAATTTGTAATATATTTTCGATTCAGGACCGACATTTGATCAAATAGCATTGTGATTTATTCCATTGTAGTGGATTGAAGTGTATAGGTAATGCTGTTATTGTTATATTATTGTTATTATTGCCTTAAAATGCTTTAAAATTACAGTGTATTAGTATTCTTAGTTGTAATATGTAAATTGTAGTGTTCTGCCACCAGGTTCTATACCTACCTGCAGAAATAATAAATCAATCTATCTATCTATCTATCTATCTATTACTCTATTATTCAGATTTTTCGTTAAGACCCGATCGATTGTAGTTACGAGGGAAATATGAAAACAGTTTATTGACGCTGTGTTCCCTCATAGAGGGCAATATGGGAGGGGAAAACGAAAAGACAGACAAAAAATGAAGATGATACGAACCGAGTCAAGTTAATCTCTAGTTAATTACAAAATAAGTAAATCTGAAACATTAAAATTAGATAACAAGTAAAATCTGGTAAGTACTACGGGCGTTAACTGGTTCTGGATATACCGGACGGCAAAAAGCTCTGGATCCAAAAGTCCACTTTTTTCTTTCCTTTTTCTCCTTTTTTTCTTTCCACCCGGTCATTACAACCCTTATAACGCCATCTGAGCGTAAACATCTATTCCTTTCAAAATGTCAGAAAAGGTTTATAATTTACGTTTTTTCCCCTTTATCTAACATCTACTTATTCTCTTGTATTTGTCTGTTTGTTCTCATTTCAAGTATGGCAGCACAGTAATAAAGTAAATATTTAACTTTATTATCGCATTGTAAAACTCAGACTTTTTAAGAAAAATTTAACACAATCACGCAAAACTACCCAATCACTTACTTACCTGTTAAGAAACTGGCACTAGATGAGGTTTGACGAAAGAGTGTCTCCATATATTTGGGCATGAAATTCCAGAGTCCACTGTACCCAAATATGAAGAAGACGCTGCTGAAGGTGTTGAGCATGTACACACGATTGCGGAGAAGACGTCCGACGAGAGCTAGGAAGTCTGCAGTCATAAACCCCAACGACAAATTATGAGCATTTCGAATCATCATCCAACTATTCCATACACTAATAGTTTATCTTAGTTTTTTCATCTAATTTATTCGTGTTGCACTTTTTATTTTAGCCATCTGAAAGAAAACTGGGTGGTTGCTCCATGAGTAATTCTTCTTCCCCATCGTCAACATATTCAGAAGCGAAAACGGTCACACCGAATTGCAAAATGAAGGAACTATATTCTGAGATTTTACATTCATTTTGTTACAGACAACGCAAGCTCAAACAGTTGTGAAACGAAACACCTATTATTATGTTCATTCCAATTTAAAACTTTCGATAGCAAAAACAGTTTTGCATTTTCTCCACATCTTTCGAACGAATGCAGTCTCCGTGTTGTTTTCGTTGGAATACTTCTCCTACAACTACAACTAAGCTGATTCATCCCAACTGGTTCTATACTGACGTGATTTTCGCGTAGCGTTTGGAGTTCTTAATGAATATTTTCTTTAATTTAAGAGTTTCAACTGTTCCGAACATAACGAATCATTATTTCATCAACTGTAAAACAATCAGCAATAAACAAGAACACAGGAAAGCAGTTAGCAATAACAAAAATAATGACTGGAAAACAATCAGCTCTACTTTATTAATTTCTCATCATTCAATTGACTTTATACCACTATAATCACGGTCTTAATGTCGGAAATGCATAGAGTCCATCTCTGTTTCCTAGTGAAAGGATTCTTTATAAATTGTATATTCAAAATAGCTTCGTTGCGGCTTCGGTAATGTTGCATATGGTATGAGCACAATCTCCTCTGCTGTCCGTATTCGTTTATTTTCACGCTTCTTTACAGCGTTACTTCTATAAGCATAAACACATTAGCTCACTAACTGCGGAAAGGTACCATGTCCACCTCTTCAGAATGAACCGTTTTAAATTTTAAATATACAGCACATTTCACGTAGATTTCACAATAATTTCTAATAAAATAATTCTTGCGTTGAAATATTTTCACAGCCCCTCGGGTGACTCATGAAAAAGTGAACTAGCTTTCCGTGGTGCAACCTCGGGTTCAATTCCCGATTGGAGTAAAAACTAAGCTGTAGATGACTCCATATTTTCCGTTACAATCGTCTCAGTTTCTATAACGGATGACAAAAGAAAAGCTCGGGCAAGTGAAGTATGCTAGATACGGTGAAAGGAATACGCCATGTATATTACAGGTCTCTCGAATCCCCAGGCGTGGATAATAGATGAAAATCAAGGCCAAGGCCTGGGAACACCACTAGCTGGCAAAAGTCGGATTAATCCGACCCTGCAATGCCAAATACATGCGTACATATTCAGTGGCGACTAGAAGGAGGGATTTAGGTGGGGCAAGTTGCCCCAAGACCCGATTTAATTGGGGATTTTTGTTTTATTCAACAGAAATGCAAAATAGATTTCTCCCTAACCTACATTTAACGCTTTAAGTTATTTCTGATGTACCAAGAAAGGTATTGTTTGTGAACGGCGCAATTTTGTGTGCAGTTTGTGCAAATTTAAAAATATAACATAAATGAGATGTACTCAAAAACGACTACAAAGGTTTTCTTTAAACTTTTTGTAAGGATAGTGCTAAATGTACTATATAATATAAACGCCAATTTGCTCTATTCATTTGTTGTTGTTTCTTCAAAAATAAGTGTAATTGCTTTGACTAGCCTCCCATGACGCTAAAATTTACATTAGAGCCGATTTGATCACATTATAAGAGTACATGAGCTTTAAATAATGTCACGTACAATTTTTCGAAAACACTCAAGTTTTCTGTGAAAACGAGCTCAAAATTCTACATTTTCAGAAACGCTCAAACGCCAGTTTCTCAAAAAGGCTCCAAATGTTTTCTTCAAACTATTCGTACGAATAGTGTTAATTGCACCGTTTAAGAAGACCTAAAATTAATTTCTACTGTATTCTTTTGTTGGTGTTTTTAAATTACACATTTTTTAAAAATATCTCGCATGCTTTAAATACGCACATTTACATCAATTTGTATGCATTATTTCATTTGTGACTAGAAGCGCTTAAAATAACTTCGAAAATATTTTTTCGAAAACTCAATTCTGTGAAAAAGTTTTAAATTTCGCACTTCAAGTAAACTTTTCCAATCAATAAAGAGCGAAAGCAAGTAATAGTTTCCGTGCACCAGTACGGAAAATATTTTTGAAGGAAAAGGGAAGTTTGCCTCACCTCGAAAAGACCTGCGGGCCGGCGCTGCTGCAGCGCCTCCAGACAGAACCCGACGCCGGGCGGAGCGGGGCAATTCTGGCGGAAACGCAGCCATCACCGGCGCCAGCAAGCACAGCACCGTCCCGAACACGACGTACCCTGCCACAGAGGTACTTACGACAATCGCTTAGGATGGATGCACACATCGGTGGATTAGGACGGTGCTATTGGGACCTCGCACTGGTTGCAAATTCAAGGAAGTTGCCGACGAAGGACTAATACAAAACGTTATATTTAAAGCGAAACCCATCGATCATGCTTTCGTGCATCGATCATACTAGTGGAAAGGCTGAATTGGAACAACGCATTGGATGGCCCGCCTCCGCCACCAGATTTTCCCGTGAAGAGTGAATGATCGGAAAGCAAAAGAATTGAAGATAGTTTTTCCTCTATGGCTAAGGTATATTTTCTCTGGGAGATGCCTGGAATTCGTCCTGATTTTCTACCTTATTGGTTATTCCCTACAATTTCATATGCTTGTGAGGTTCGCTGTGTACAACACGTTCAGTTCCTTGGTTAAAATCAGTAGTCTTCTTCCACAGTTTGCAAAAAACTTAACTGAGTGACTGTCCCTTATATTACATTCAATGTTTTATCACAAGTCATTTATGAGAGCAAACAAAGAAAGCAATGCCAATATAATGTGATCAAAAACAAATACTTCGGGTACGCAAATTGCTCTATTGATAATTGTATCTTTTCATACCGGCATTACCAATTCCCTCTTGTTCTTTTACGAGGATTTGCACACACAACATGAAAATTTCGATGACGTTTTTCTCAACGCATCTCTTTCCACTTAGTATTTTGTTGTTGGTCCATGCAAATATACAAGGAGGGAATAACTCTCGAACGGTGCACAAAGCAAACACTTTCCATCGCATCTCTGGCCTTCGGCCATTCTTGAGGCCTGCGATCTTTGAATGATATCAATGACTTACCCCTTGCTGGAGACTTCTCGGTGTAGCCATATTCCTACGAGGTACGTGGATAGGGTTCCTCTTAAAATGGAATGTCCTTTACTTTAATTTTAAAGACCTATCAATGAAAAAAATCGATTTGAATGCTAGTGAGCAACTCATTTAAATATGTTGAAATTCCCGTCTTATTTTTCTCAAACAGTGAATGAATAAATATATTTTGTATCAAATTAAAATTTTACGATTGAAAGTATAAATTTTGCAGGAACACTTTTTGCAGGAAGATAAAATGTCAATGCCGTCTAGGATTACTATATATTTTTAAGGTGTTGATAATATTTCGAGGTTGCTCTTGTCGCCGTACTCTTTCATCCTTCTCTGTTTGTTGGGTAAAGAATAAAACACATTTTTCATTGCTTAAAAACTTCAGCATCTTTTTCACTGAATGGGCCCTTTGTTCGGTAGAAAGAGGTTGGGTTTGTAATTATTTTCCCTCGTCACAATATCCCCACTAATAAATTTATTAATCTGCAACACCTTGGTTCATTCTTACAATTAGAAGAAAATGTATTTATTTGGTACGATTGTATTTTATTAGTGACCAAACGAACGGTTTCTATTAAACGGAAAAATAAATAAAATTCTAATTACGAGACATACACAAGCGTTATAAGATATTTTGCACGGAGTTTTTCGTTTACATTTTAATATTAACTTGTTTGATATTGACGTGGCATTCGAGACTGATGGTCACCTATATCTAAGAAAAAAGAGACCAGTACATATCAAACTGCAACACTGTTCCGTCGACACATCTTATTCCCATGCATGTAAACTAGCCTTAAACTCACCCATCCACCAAGCACCAATCCAGCGGGGATCCTTGTTGGTGATAGCTGGAGTCAATGACGGCTCAACAAAATGCGCCAAGGAATAAGACGCAATCACAAAGCCAGTCGACGGTCCCAGCATTCGAATTACCAGTGATACAGCTGTAATAATTGTAATTTATTATTCAACGCGACAAAGAGGGTACTTTATCTAGGAGACGAATGTATCTTTCTCGAGAAGATAAAGTATCTGTAACGTACACAGTTTGCTGCGCCGCCGCCAGGAGCGCGCTACTGCCCGGGGAGCTCAGGAGAATATATAAAAACAGTGTAACACCAACAACAGCACATATTTTTCCAATGTTTGGTACCAATTAGCTATTCTTCTTCTTTTTCTTCTTCTTCTTCTTCTTCTTCATTATTATTATTATTATCATTATTATATTGCACCTTTTATCTTACTACGACTTCAGCCAATACATCATCCATCGAAAAATGTAAACAATGTAAATACAATTTTGAAAATACAACTAATGTTTTAAATAGAAACTGCAATTAAAATGAATAACTGATTTACTCTACGGCAACAGATGATAAAATACAATTAGCAAGAGCGATGGTAGAAACAAGGCGTATGGTGTTGAGAATGGGAAGTGAAGTAGAGAAAGAGATAGGACGCGATGAAGCTCCCTTCAAGAGACTGAGTGAGTGGTTCTTTTCGAGTAGCAAATCGTGTATAAGAGATTATCAGTAATATGAACGAATGAGTTCATAACCATTGCGATGGAGTACCGTGTGTGTTTGGGGGACGAACCGATACTAAACGTCGCCTAGATATAAAGGTGTCGTGGCGACATGAGGGAAGTAACTAAAAATATAACGAAGAAAGAATAACTTTTGTGATAAAACAATTATTACATGTTTAAAAGCTGCCATCGTCAATATTTTAAGGATAAATCATGCATGACCTCAAGGGATGACATTATGAGACATATTTTGTCTATTAAGTGTGAACGATAAAGTATTCGATTATTTTATATTGTTATTATTCATGTTTATCCAATTTCTGTGTTATGTTTTTTGAAACGACTTGCAAAGATGACTTGTTAGTCAATTTTTTTCAGGTGAATTATTTTTTCTGAAATATTCGTTTCATATCTGAACCCAAGTAGCTACCTTATTATTAAGAATAGTAGTAATGGTATGAGTCCCCCGAAATCCTTTTTTAAGTTCATTAAAACTCGAATCGCTGTAATAGGCAAGATTGTCAACTTACTTTATCACACATTTCTGCAATCAGCGTAAAAAATTTGCCGATATACCGAAGTGAATTGTGTCCGAAAAAAAAACCCACTGACTTTTCATTGAATATTAAATGTGTGTGTTATTTCATCAAGAAAAAGTTCACAAGGTCAGCTTTTAACTTACGCTTGTCCAGCGTGATGAAATGAGATAAGGATATCAACACATTTAAATAAATTGGAAATTTTACAAAATATATTTCTCAGGAAAATATCTCAAGTTCCATGGTATGTAAGTAATATTAAGTTTCATAGAGAATTGCAAAGACTCTATACAAGAATGCATTCGGGAAATACCATCAACTTCTTTAAAACTCATCACAATTACATAACACACCACCAGCAGATTTCACTTACAAACAATTCTCTATTTCAAGCAATGTAGTTGTAGAAGAGGCGCCAGCCAGCTTCGCGCGCCGCTTGGTCCCGCGCCGTTGAAGGAGGCGCAATCATTATTCCTTCTGAAAAGCATCCCAATTCGTTTTTCAGATTTGTTCTGTAGAAATCTAAAAACTAGTGCTGCTCATGCACTTTCTCGCTTGTATTTTCACGCAAAATTACGCGAAAACTATTCAAATTTTCGAAAAATTGTTCATAACCTTAGTTCAAAATCTATCTTTAAAGAACATATTTTACTACGGGAAAAACTCTATCTTCAATATTTTAATTGTAAGAAATACCGATTTTTTGTTTGTTTTGAATTGTTGCCATTTTTGGAAAATCAGAGTTTTCAACGAAAATGAGACCTGTACCATTCTCTTAACTATCCTTTATACTATCCAACAACAAAATTTCATCAAAAAGATGGAGCCATTATTTTGAAACGTTTGAAAATGTCCCAGGGGCTTCATGTAAAGTACTTCCAAAATTAAAATATCGGTTTCAAATATAAGGGGCCGTGACATCAGCCAGATCGATTGGGGAATATCAATTTTGGAGAAAATCGGCTGAACGATTTAGCTGCTATCGTTGTTCACGGATGGACAGACGGACAGACGGACAGACGGACAGACGGACAGACGGACAGACGGACGTATTGCCGTCATTTGATTTTTCTCTATCAAGGACCCACAAGACGTGGATTCTAGCTCTTCTAATGTTAAAGTTTTTTTTTTTTCTAAATTTAGCAACAGAATTTATTCCCTTTTTCGTTACGAGGGTACTGTAAGAAGAGTTTTTTCTGTCAAAAATTCACAGTTTTTTCGCGCAGCATTACATAACTCTCTCTCTCAACTGTGTACGCGGTAGAGAGAACGTAAAAGGAAGTGTGGCTTTTCAGACTGCATCAATGAGTCTGCCTCCTTCAGGGGCGCGAGCCCGGACGCCGCGCGAGGCAGTCCGGCGAGCGCGATGACAAAGGCACTGTTTCACGCGACGAAACAAAGAGGAAAACAGTAGCTCATGGGCTTCCCAATGTCATATAGTGTTCTTTAAAGCCTAGTAACTTTCAAACCCGTATGCTCTCTCCACAAAAATGTTCAATTCAACCTAACAGTAAATAAATAAGACACAACAGCACCGCTCAAATGAGGGTCGTTAACAGTGATGGCGAGCGGCACAATTTTTGCCGATTGCAGTGAAATAGTTAAATAATTGACCAAATCAAAGATCGTAAAGTAGAGATTTAACCGTATCTCAATTAAAAGTATTCTGGATAAAATTTTAGGAGCTGCGGTCATTTGAAAAGAGTATATTTCTCTTAATTTAACATAAAAAAGTCATATTTGAAGTGAAGTGGCGCACTGAGTCAAATAAGTAATGTTTGACGATCATAAAAATGTTGCGGGATAATGTTAGCTAAAAGCTGCCAGGTAAAAATCCGTTGATGAAAAAAACATGAAATAATATTTATTCGTTATTTTCTACAGAGTTGCGGAGTGTGGCACCACTAAACTCATTTTAATGGCTTTATTGGTACCGATGTTTTTCTTGGATCGAAACCTACTTTTTTTCCGTAAAGCCATGCAATTCTATTGTACTTTATACAACCTTACATAAAACAATGTATGTATGTGCGTGTACCTAAATTGCAATATGTAAACCGTTATTGCGCATGCTGCTTATTCGCTTGATTGTTCATGATGTCACGTACGTCACAGAATACTTAATGCTGCCAATCACGTTCGCGCTGACATCTGTGACATTGAAGAAGACCGTAAATATCGCGTTGCTTATGCGTCGGCAGTATTCAGCATTGGAGGTACGCGTATGGACAGAACTAAAATGCATTGGTGCCAGCTCAATAAAACCCTTCGCAAGTATAAAGAAATGTATTGTATTTTTTTAAAAATAATGAAGGATTGTTCTTGCAAAAGATAACGAAACATGTTTAATTCTCGTTTATTCACAGAAGTGAATTCATAGAAGCGTTTGCGAGGGAAGATCACACGAAGAGCCGCATTGAAAATTGTTGTACTGCACTATATATTTCAATATATGTTTAAGTACGTTCTATTGAGATAGAATCATGACCACTGGAAACTTTTGCGGACGCTTATGAATTCACGATTTCAGTGGTTGAAATTAATTTTGGATATCGTTATTCTACTTCAGCGGAATTCTCCAAGGATAATAGTATCGCGGAACAGATTTTCTGAAGGATGAGGGACAGAGGATACAACAAAGTATTTACTTAGTACTTTGCATTCTTCTAAAAGGGATGTTGCAATCGTGGTTATGGGTAATTAGAGTTTGTATGTTGGTTTATTAAAGTTCATTGAGTTATTTTGAACACTGTGTGATCAGTGACTTCGTGGTCGTGTAATGGTTAGAGTATCTAATTGTTATACTCATGTTCGCTGGTCTCAATCCCATCAAAGCTGTGGATTTTTAAAGGCGAAAGGTGTATTTTAAAATATCCATCGCACGCCTTCCTTCAGAGGGTAAAGTAAAGCCAGCTTTCCCATGATAAAGCTTTCATACATGTAAAAGATACATTCCTACACAGTGCCAGTTTTAGGTTCCTTCCAACATGATTTACATAAATAAAATTTTCTAGTCTAAAACTGAAGCTTTATTGCAACAAATGATTGTAACTAATACTTTACTACGGATTACAAATATGTATCACGTTATAATTTACTTGAATGAATCTTATATTCATACATTTTACAATGCTACTTTTCGTGATTTACTCTCCCCTTCGCCCTCCCTCTCCTCTCCTTCTCTCTCTTGTAATCCGTAGTATATATATATAACACCACAATAGTATTTCGAAGAGACGTCTTTTTATTTCACGTTAAATGCTGTTGTAAATTTTAGACTTCAAAAACATTTTAATTATGATTTTTAAAAATAAATTCTTTTAAATGTGATTTTTCATAGTTTACATACCTACTTGCTCCCCTACTTCACCTAAAATAAATGACTTTTTGAATGCCTATTTTAGTACAAATAAATTACTTTTTGGCTACTTATTGTAAGTAAAATAAATGCCTGGACTTTCGAGTTCTACTTACAATACTCTCTGCCTCTGACATCCACGCTAGGCTTTTGCAGTCACTTACCGATCATGAACGGAGCCTTATTTTTCCGAGTGTTGTCATCTAAGTAGGCAACACTCAGCGTGAAGTACATGGCGCCCCCTGCACCGATTAAGAAGTTGGCTCCGACGAAGAATATGATGGGGAGGCCGAAGGAGCCGCTCTCGGGCGCACAGTCCTCAACGGTCGGCTGGCCGCATAACGGCGGTGATGCTGCAAAAGGAAGTGGGTCTTGAGACGGGCTCCTACGCAACGCAGGGGCGGAACTATAACAGCCAACGTAGGCTGATGCAACCGATGCGCGGTACCGGGGCCCCCGAAAGGCCCCCAATTAGGACACCCGCCGCCCCCAGTGAAGAGTCAGTGGTAATGATGGGCTGTATTTGGTATTTCTACACTGGGGTCTATGAGTACGTAACTATGCCTCTGCTCCTACGTCGCGCACCATGGTACCTACTTCAGCAGCATTATATGAAAATATTGAATAGTCTATTAAGCATATCAGATTGCATTAAAGAAATATTTTTAAATGAAAATATAACAAATCAGCATTCATTGAAGCCTTAAGTTGCGATGCTTGTAAGTATCTCGTGTATGATATCCTTCATTTGTTACTTTTAAATAAGATGCCTTTTGATTGATTTTTTTTTTTTGCATTTAAATTTGCATTTTTGAAACACTAGCATTGTGAATTAAATACTATTTTTATTTACAAAACGTAAATAGGATGCTTAAATTTAAATCATATCTTTATTAATAAAATGTTGTGATGTATACGTTTTTAAATTGATAAGATGTGATAGACACGTACAGTGGCGCTAGCAGAGCTTTTCTCGGGGGGGGGGGTACATTGAATTTTTACTTGCCGATTAACAGTTCCTTATAACGTATTCAATTGAGTCATTGAATGACTTTCGTTACTACAGAAAATTAGTTAAAACTATATGCTGGCTTCTGCGAGGTACTGAGGTCCAAACACTTGTTTATGCACCACTAGCATGAACGGCCATTGCAGGTAATAATGGCTATTTTTTTAATTTATAATTAATAATACCTTATTGATGTTTAGTTTTATCTCGTTACAAATAAAATGTGGTTGACGTCAAATGTTTATGTAATTACACGAATTAGATAATTTTCCTAATTATTAATAAAGATATTTACTAATTACATAGTAAAGTAGACTCGCAGAATAGACACTAGGAATTCGGTCTTACGGATAACGAGAACAGCGCCGAATGGAAAATAAAAATATTGTTGGGGATACAACATAGCATTGTGACGAAAGAAAAAGCTGAAACAGGCCAAACCTAGGTTCGGTGATGGGAATTCAAGCTTGCTAAAGGTTCCCTTACCTCCGGGCAGGGATAATAAATATGCCCAGGCCAGAGAACAGCACTATCTGGGAAAAATCGGCTTCATCCGACGCTAATGCCAAACACATTGATTGGAGATAAAAATAGGGTCAAAATAGCGTTGCGTATGATAACATTGTGCTGGCATTGTATCAATGTTGAACACATTAAATACATTGTGAAGATCTAAAAATGTTTTTTGTTTTCCCAATTTGGGGTAGAAAATTCGACCTCACAGGTGCAAAATTGAGTACTGTTTTTTCGGACCTTTACTCTCAGACTTACGTTGGGCGGGCAGTTTATCCGTGAAATTATACGAATTTTGTTCCTAGGTTGTAATCTGTTGTCGGTTGTAATCTAGGTTGTAACACGTTTAAAGATTTTGGACATTCTATTGCATTTTTAGAGGTTTCTGCTTGATTCATAGTACGAGTTGTCACGAACGTGCCTCTAATATGGAAATCTATGGAAAATTACATTGAATATTTGATATTCTAGGTGATTTAATCAACAGGTATTCACTAGTTTTATTCGTAATTTTTTAGTTCGTTAATTAAGACTTGGCAATTTTTCAATATTTACCCATGCACCCATTCTACATGATGCACTCCACAGTTCGGGGTCTGGTCATTACAAATAGGATTATATTTTTAAGCTGCTTCATTTTGGAAACATTTAAAATGGCAAAATGTTCACTCGGGAGCAAATTATATAGTGTTATCATTTTCACATTTTCACATATTTGACATAAAATTTATATTTTCATTATTTTAATTTTTTGTATAAATTAGAATATAAATTATAAAAGTAAGTATTAAATAATACATAATTATAAAGTATTAACTAATAAATTAATAAAGGTGATTAGTAATAATACATTATTTTTAGAAATTTTTTTGAGTTATAGAATTGATATTTTTAGCTACAAACTGAGCATAGTGATGAAATAAACACAGAAGATTCATAATATGAGTACAATTTATTTATACAATTATGTACAAGGATAACTGCTTTGAAGTCAGAGCATTCCATAGAGTTTCATTCCTTGATGCGAATTGTAAGGTATTAGCAGCGTGCCTCGTGATCATATTTAGGGACGCTTGGCAGAGGATTAGCCTCGCCACAGGAAGAAGGGTTTTTCGTAAAGGGAAGAACGCGGAAACGGAGATACAAGGCTTTGGATATCCGGCTCTAGAAACTTTTCACTGTTATAACAAGCGAGGGGTGGCGTGACGTATTGTAGGTCACGTGGGCCCGCGCCTATATAACCGAGTGTACAGAGCCAGTGGGTGGTTCTGGAGACAGGGGAGAAACTCGTGCGTGTGCACAAAACTTGGCGCCACCGACGGGCATATGCGAGCAGGCTCGCGAGGCTGGGTCACTAGTTGAGAAGCCTGCGGACTTTAGGTCCTTGGGTGACTGGGTCACGGGGAGCGATGCTGTGTGCGTGCTCCGAGTGAGAGGGTTGAGTGCCACGATTCACGCCGATTCTCATCGGATAAGATAGCTCCTGCGATTGCGGCAAACCAGCCGTGGTGCGCCAGAACGGACTTTGTGTCCAAGCGTGACATCCGGTCACGAAGCTAGGCTTTGTGCGCGCTTCAAAAGTAGGAGTGGCGAATGCACAAATCAAACAATCTCAATCGGGTTTGGATCGCTCCCCGATCAGATAGTAGGTCTATCAAGCTAGGTGTAAGTAGATTATTAAGTATATATTCTGTTTTGTTTTCTTGTTAATAAATATATTGTTATAGAAAGCTCTGTGTCTGTGGTCGTGTGAGTATCCATGACGTCACAGAATTCTTGATGTGGTCGCAAAGTCGCGCGGCCACCCGCTTGTCAGCAACCGTGCGCTTCTGCAGATCTTTCGAGAGTGACCAAAGTAGCTCAATGGGCCACCGTCCCGTCCGAGCCCTCTCGTAGGCGAACAGAGGGGAAAAAGTCTGCCCTCGAGCCTTGGAGAAGTCAAGAGGTTGGCTTTTTGTCTACAAAGCGGACCTTCCTTCTTCCTCCGCTGATTAACACTTCGTTACAATCCGCTTTGGCGGACTATGACCGGCGTGGGCTGCCTGGTGCGTTGTCGGTCGTCAGTGCCGAGAGGAGTCTGCATGGAATGAGGAAGAGAGTAGCTTATTTGTCTGCGGGCTGTATAGCAACGCGAACTGAATGAGGATAGTGGCTCTGATGGTCTGCGTTGTGCGATGGCGAGAGTTGCCTACGATATTTTTGGTCTGCGAAGAACTATCTTGTTATGCTTTTTCATTGAAAGGGAAATTGAACATTGATGGAGAATGAAATCAGTGATTAAGTGTTAATGAAATTCATCAGAGCGAATTATCTCACGGGAATTACTAGTTATGAAAAATGAAATGTTTAGAAATGTGAACACGATTACGAGAATGTTGAAAATCATTCTTCGGTGCCATCTCGGCATCTGACGCAAAAAATAGCCCGTTGGCAATCAGCGTAGCTGTGTCGCCAGGGAAGAGAGAAATGAATCGAAAAGTTGACTAACTCACAGAGCTGGAGAGGTGTTTCGAGGACGTTTGGGTTTCGCGATACTCCCAAAATTCAGGGAAGGCACGCATGTTCGCTCAGCGCCGTATATAGTGCGGCACGGCGAAGCAAGCGCGACATGCTGCACGATAGGCCCCGCTTGGCGATGTAAGCGCGGCTTGCTAACCGCGGCTGCCGGAATAGCTCACTACCGAGCAGTGAACTCACGTAGCCCGCGTCCCGTGGCTCGACGCGATCATCACCTGAATGTATTTCATGCACTAGCATACGTAGGTCCTCATCACCCTTATATCATGGCACGTAAATAGGGTCACGGGAGGGATGATGGAGGGAGGGAGTTCCATAAATGTCACAAAAAGTGAACGAGGGGTGGGAGTTGATGGATACACATAAAGGGTCTCACGATATTATTGTTTTAATTATTGAGCTTGCCAAATACAAATGTATTGAAAGTGTGATCAAAATGAATGTTGGTTTAATATGAAAAAAATGTCATTAAAATTATTATGAAGTTTACTCACATTTCTAACGAATTTACTCGGTATCTTATGTACTATGGAAGCGAGAGGATGAGCATTCTGCACTCAGAGAAAATGAAACTTAGTAACCTAACTCATACTCGCTATACGGAGTTGACTCATATTACTCTGTAAGAGAGGATGTTCAGGGCAATTTTGGTAAAAATACAAGGAGCTTCATGTAAAGTTACGAACAAAATTAAACTTTTGGTTTCCCTCGTCTTGACAAAGATCATATGATTGGAAATACAGCACATTTGGGGGGAAATCTAATACATTGAAGGCGCTAAGTTTGTTCACGAATCGACGGACTTAAAGATGTTTTCAAAACAATGTTAAAGCTACAAAAGAACATACTTTCTAACAATCATACGGCTTCGCAAATATTATATTAGGTTTTGACACTGCAAAAGTGTCTGCCAAATTTTCTTTAACTAAAACTGCCCTTAATGCATATACAACCTTTTATGTACTTTATATTCGCATTCAGTAAAGAAATTTCTCAAGAATTAAACCAAATTTCATAAAATTATAGAATATTAAATCTTAAAATGCGTATCGTTATAAAAGGTTTAGTTTTTACTTTCATGTAATATTTATTTAAACATTCTGTAATATTTTTGCGTTGAAAATCTAAAAACATGTTTTTAAGAAAAAATTATTTTAGCTCAAATGCAAATGCGAAATTTAAGCTCTTTTTCGAGAGGAATTATTTTGGAAATTTTTCAAAACATATTGAAGTCATTTTAAGCACTTCACTCGTCAAATGCAATAGATGGATTTCAATCGCTAAAAATGAACACATTAACGCGTGAAGTAATTTAAAAATTTAACATTAGTGTATTTTAAATAAAAATAAAAGAATTCAGCGTAATAATTATGTCATATTAAAGCTGCAACAGTAATCGTTACTATTCAGACGAAAAGTTGGAAGATAAAATTTGGAGCAGTGTTTTGAGAAATTTGTGAGCGTTTCTGAAAATGCGAAAATTTGACCTCGTTTTAAACAGAAACTGTTTGACTTTTCGAGAATTTTAATGACATTATTTGAAGCACATGTACTCTTTTATGCATTCATGAGTAATCTGCCGCAATGTTAAATTATAGAGAACTACGCGTGAGAACCTAGTGAAATACATAATATTCTTTGTAATTTTTTGAAAAACAAAGAATAGACCAAAATGGCGTTTATTCATCTAATAGATCTCATTTCAGACTATTCTAAAAAAAATTTAAAGAAAAAATTGAGAGCTTTGTTAATTTTTTAATTGCACAAATTGCTTCAATATTGGCGAAAAAATCTACTAAGATTAAAAAATGTACATGCCATAATGAAGAGAAAGCTAATTATGAACAACAATTTCATTTGAAAGAAAATACTATCGTTAATTTTGTAGCTGTAGAAAGACGACGAACAAAATTCAAAATTTTTTGCAATTTTTCCAAATATGAGTTAACGCAAAATAACGGGACTACGGCACTTGATAAGTGATTTTACTCTTTTTTTTAAGAACATTTGAAGAAAATTTTTGAAAATGTCCGCTTATATATAGTAGCCCCAATTAGAAGAAAGTTTTCAAATCGCAGCGCTCAGTCGGGCCAGATCGACTCAGAATATCCATTTTCGGAAGAAACTAACGTTGGTAGCCACTAATGGATATTCACAGACGACGGACGTTTTGAAAAACACTTTTTCGGTATCAGGGGAGCCAAACGTTAGTTTCCGTGAAATCTAAACAGATATTTTCGCAGCATTACGATAAGTGTTCGCTATAAACGTTATAGTTACGTCCGTATATACGTACACGTATACGGGAGAAGTAAACGTGATTGACTAGCCAACAGCTATACATAATGCAATACATCCAGAAATATACATACAGTACGACTAATCATAGTGGTTTAGAAACATTGATCCCATGTTATGTGCAAATTATAGTTATAGGCTCAGAATTGCAGTATTAAAAATATTTAACTCGTTAAAAATAGTATAAAAAAGTATATGCGCAACTCGTATATCAAAGTTTTTTAAAAAATAAGGTCGTAACTTGAATTAAAAGCATTCATTATGAAGTCGTGCACGCAGTCGAAGACACTCTTTAATTTCATATAGTAATCAATATGTGAACATTTTTCTTCCTCTCAGCTTTTCATTTACTTTGTGTTTCTGTGGTGTAATGAGAATTATAAGATTTAAACAGTTATTTTCTCAGTAAGTGCTGTGCCGTGTGTTTCAGTTTTTATCGCAAAATGTAATTTAGATCGTTGCGCTTTCTTGCAAATGCTGCAAGAATGTTGCTGTTGTGAACGATGAGCAAATGGGGGGGCTGCTTACTTCTCAGAATGGAAAAAGAACAGAATACAGCGTAGTGATGGCTAACCATACGTACCCTTTAATCCACGGCCGCAAGACCGGGACGCTGCTGATAGGTCTTAGCTTGTAAAGAGCTGTTGTGCCAAAGTACATACATACATGTTTTTAAACGTTTATTCATCCGTCTATCTTTCCATCCGTCAATGTACAACACTAACGCTTGACTATTCATAGATTTTTCCCAAAATAAATATATAAAATAAAATGGTTATTATTTTCCCCATTTCAGAAAACGTTTGCCCTTAATGGGATGAAATTAAATAAATAAATAAATAAATAAATAAATAAATAAATAAATAAATAAATAAATAAATAAAAAGTATTCCCCGAGCGATCGAGTTCGATTCAAAATCCTAAATATAAATATTACATGGACATAAACTAAACCATAGTGTTCACTGATACATGCAGTAAATATTACGTTCTACAACATTTTCCGTAGTCTGTTAATTTTGACAAATAATGTGCAAATCACGATGAGGGCAAAGATCACCAACAAAACATCCTAATACACCACGAAAATTGCCAAATTAGAATGAAGTATTTCACAAACAAATTCGTGAGCACTGAGAAAGTTTGGGAATATTTTGAATGTAAACAGACGTGTGCAATGTGTCTCCCATGTAAACTAGCGTAATGTTTATTAATTTTAATTGGATGAATAGTTATTCCAGCACAAGCTGTTACCTATGTGCTTCCATTCCCACATTTTTTAGTGTTTGATTTAGTTACTTTTATAAGTATACAAGTACTTTAAATGGCCGATTTCATGTTCCAAGAACACGTGAATACTCATAATAGTGGTTTGAAACCTGACAACATCGCTCCACTGCACTTGCTCAACCACCAACTTTTAATCCAATAGTGCTAGTGCTGAAAAAATTCCGCTTTGTTCAAAAAGTATTCCCTTCATTAAATCATACTATTTTTATAATCGAATGAAAGAAATCATTCAAAAGCTGTCATAGTATTTTATATCGGACAAGTGAACACAGTATAAAGTATGTTCAATTCATAATCAGAGATTTTAAAATCTGTCAAAAATAAATCCTAATGGGTAATTTGTTTGTAATTCTAAACCCATAAATATATTGTTATTATTACATAGTATCGTCACGAATTTAATAAATATATGAAAGTAAACAAAATATTAAGAAAATATTGAAAATAAATTAAGTAAGTATCCCCCTCGATCCTTATACTCTTAAGTCTTTGCGTCATTGGTATGCCACCGGTTAAATGACTTACCTGAAGTAGCACTGGGTACTTGGAACCGCTTCTCGATGGTGGTGATGGTTCCGATGAAGTATGAGTTGAGAGCCATGCTAAAAAGGCCGATGAGCCCCTGTACTACGAGATAGACTTTCTTGCTGGCGAACGGTTGCAACCATGCGGGACGCCAGCTCCAGAGCCCACATTTGGCTGTCTCCAAGTGCTCGACGAATTCCAGTTCCCCAGCCAAGTCATCGCCGATCTGATTCAAAATGAGAAGCATATTCCCTTTTTAATAGGTTACATAAATATATTATTCCTTAGGACTTAGAGACGTAACATGTATTTCGGATGAGATCGCTTGTTTGGTTTACTGAGGAGAATGAATCGAGGAAAAGACGCGAGATGTAGCTGCACAGCATAATCCAGACCTTTCAACCTGTGACTCGAGGGGCGGATTTAGCCCATGTAGCAATTTAGACTGGCCCAGCTTACGAATACAAAATAGATATTCTACGTACATAAATACGTAATAAATAATGGACAATATTTAACATTCATGTCAATTTCTAGTATTTATTTAGGGTCGGAAACCAGATTTAAATTTGCGTGGAAGTTTGTTCAGTCCATATCTTGGAAAGTACTATTACCAAGGAAGATTTTTAAACACCGAAGAAACATCAGACTTTGGAGATCTGTGCAAAAAACTTAAATGTGTTACTATTAATGGCGAACACAATATTGTAAATGAAATCGGGCGTGGTATAAAAACTCTCAAAAGTTGTTAAGGAATTTGGAATGCAAAAGCCAATGATTTTTCAATGTAAAATTCATCAACAGTCTGTATGGTCAGTACTTCCAATATGATGAATGTGTGCTGTTACACGTCAAAAATTCAAGAACTCTTTTTGACATTGTCCTAGGAATTCATCATCACTGTTAGTTTGTTACGCTGTCAAAGAACTAAAGCGGTTTTTTAACTTCGCGTTACTTAATTTTAAAAATATGCTTAATTATGAAAACAAAATCTTTATATTACATTTCAGTTGCAAATCTGGAAAGTACCAAACTGGTCAAAGTTGATCTTTGTTAGGAGGATTTCGCCTTCTTCCAATTAAGCAGTTTGTTCCAGATTTCAAAAAAAGGTTGGAGACCCCTGACATATTCAATGGAACGTGCCGACATAGCACAGAATCGTATGTGGAGGTTTAGATAAGTCTTCCTCGGACGAACAAGGTAAGGTCTGTCCACCAGTCTCTCTCAGGACTTCTGCGCTGAAATCAGTTATAGAGTTCATATTCAGATAGTATTGAGAAGGGAGCAATTTCAGACCCCATATATATATTTTTGAAATATTTTTTTAATTGTTGATTTTTTAAAGAGGACGAGAATAATCATTAATGAAATACTGCTTTAGATGTTACATCTACGTATGGTAATTGTTGTGAATAAATTGAGTAAAATTTCAAAAAACTTTGGCTAAGGAGGGCATGATCTCAATTGGCCTCCCCCTTGCATTTGGCAGTGAATCAGTAGCAATAAACCCAATAAAAGTACCGATTCTTCGAATAAGTTATCCGATAATTTTCAGTGATTTCAATAAAAAGTAATTTTAGCTAATAATTGTTTTTTCAAACACGACGAAGACATCTGTTACTTTCCCAAATCTATTTTATATCGATTAAAAACACTTAAGGCACGACCATGCACATCATATCTCTTGACAACAGTAAACAAATATCGACCTTTAAGATGGCAATTTGATTTATAATTTTTCAACATTGCCAATGAAATAAAAGATAAGCAACTATTTTACGATTGGGTGACACCATACGTTTACATTAACGCAACGTGGATAAACGCAACGAACGTTGAAACAACGTAATCAAACAAGATTTTAAGTTAAATTTTGCTGTGTTATTTTAAATATCTTCCAAATATAGCGATAATTTACTTACACAACATGATATTCAAAGATATTTGAAAATTATCTTTGTACTTCTCGTGTGATTACAGAGACGCTTTCACATGCTATTTTACTCCGCTCACCTGCGTTTCGTTCTCTACACCCAATATTTTGTATTTGTGAAGTTGCCAGCAGCGTATCAACACGGTGCGTGTCGCGGTAAGTATGAAAGATACTACACAATAATCACTTTAGTAATGTTGACAAGCGTCATCAACGGGGCAAAAAACGTAACGTGGTAGAGTAATGAGAACCAACGCTCAGTCATAAACAGCACCGCGGTCTTGGCAAGTTTCCAACTCTGCACGAGGAGCAACGTTCAAGTCCACAACACATGCTGCCTGCTTTGTCAGAGGCATCGGGACGCGATCAATGCATTCTGTCTAGACGTACGCGCTGCGCAGAACACTGACCTACTATCTCTTTTTCGTGCACTCGTCATAAGCGGTAGATCTGAAGACGATCTGCACAGGCGATCGAAAATAAATACTTTTTCGTATTTCTTGTTTAGCCTACTAGCGATCACGAATATAACCTAAAAATTTCTGATTATCATAGGTGACTTTAGAAATAACCTGCAATGGTATCGCTCCTTTCGCGAAACACAAGAGGCATTTGGCCCATTTAAAAATTTTGTAGATTGAGCGAGTGTATCGTATTGTATTTTGTTCGCGTCCCGTTGTTGCACAGTCGGGACCACCCAAACGAGGCCCATGCCTTTAGTTACTGCAAGCCTTACACCCTCTTTGGTTATGCGAGGCCCGCGGCGGGCGATTCGCTGCCAGCAGACACTGACCTGGGCTTGTTCCTTCCGGCGGGTGTCGTCGTGAGGTGCAGCGGGGGCGGGCGGCTCACGGGCGCCGACAGTGTCGTCCAGCGGCGCGTCTCGGCTCGCCATTGATCGCGGGGGCGGCGGCGGCGGCGGCGGCAAGCGTGGATTTGCGAACGCCGATTCCGCCGCCTGTTGCGCTATCGTTGCACCGACCGCGCGTTCGTGCGGTCGCCGTTTGGTTGCCGCCGGCGCCGGGGGAGCGTGCGGGGGAGGGGGAGGGGGAGCGCGGGCGGCGGGCGTCGATGGGGAGGCGCGCGCGCGGTGGCGCTCGAGCTTTGATGATAGCGCTTCCGTTTCCTGCGCGGCCAGCGCGCGCCGAACGTTCTGCGAGCCGCGGTCGCCGACGCCCTAACCGCTCTCCTTCCGCTGCAACAGCTGCCTGCTTGCGGCTTCGGTGCAGCGCGAAAGGCTCGCAACGGGTGGGGGAAGCGGAGGAGTGGGGGAGGGACCTCCTCCGCTCGCTTTGTTGGCTTTTTTTAAGCGCCCGCGGCACTGACTAGCGCCTTAACGCTATTTGTGAATTTCTGGGCATGGACAGTAAAACAATAAGCGGAAATCGGACTCCTTATCTCTTTGGAAATATCTTTTGCTTTATTTTTTGTTTCACTTTTTTTTTTCGATGTATATTCAACTTTCTACGTTCATTGACATCTTTCATTTCAATTTTCTGTCTCTCTATTTCTCAGATAATAATTTATCGATTTTTCTATTGTATCTTTTCGTAATTCAACAATATATTTAAAAATAATACTAGAATTGTATTGTAAGATTTCATACGTTACTTTTGTCTAATTTCCTTCCCGAAAGAACGGATATCTTTCAAATGACTTCTTAGATTATAACTCTTTCGCTATCATACGTCTGAAAGTTATCTTCGAAATTTGGACGGACTAATCCTAAAAATGTACGATAAACTCAGTTTTATTCTTATATTTTCCATCATTTACATTGTGGCCCAATCAAATTATTGTAAAAGTACAAATATTAACGAATTTATCAAATACGGGTTGTGAAATTACACTTCCCCATGTGTCTAATTAGATACCAGATGTGAGTTATAAAATAATTGTGAAATTAACTACAACACTCTGGATACCTATATACTTAAATAATTAATGATTGTATGTTGCACCTAATACAGAAAGATTTGTTAAATGTTGTCCTGAGCAAGGAGCAAGATATTTTTAGTGCTCGAAAATGAAGGTAAATTACACCTTCCGGCGGCTACTGCTTCCGCAACGGTATGCAGCTGGTCAAATTGACGTCCACCGAACTGAACCACAAGCTTGACATTTAATGCCTCCTAATTTTGACTTGTTTGAGGTGCGAATACAAGAGGCGAATTAGCAAATTTAGACTTGGCAGAACATTCCCTCAGCAGAACATTTTAACGTCTACAGATGATCTGTGAATGGTAGATAAAAATAATCAGAAGTAGAGGGACTTATTAAACCCCAAAGGGAAAAAAATGTTCCTTAGGCCTGGTACCAAGGTGCAATATCGTTAGGGTCGTTTGCTGTAAAGGTATTATTCATTACAGTTTCTGTTGTTGTCATTGAAAATGCTCCAGAGAAAATGGTTTTTGGCTGTAGTACAAATGAGATTCAGGGAAGATTGAGCACAAACCCGAGACAAGTGTTTGCTATTTGACATCTACCAACCTTCGTTATACTACCAAATGGAACCTGATAAAATATCCCCCACTCTTCATGATCTATCCCAATCTCTTACAAACATACACGGACTTAGGGGCGACGGCAGATTGCAGCAGAGGTCAGACAAAGTATATCCTAATCCTCCACCCAGACAGTTTAGAGCGTAGACGGTCCAATTCACCGAGAAAAGAATTCCACGTAGCAAATCACTTTTTAAAAGGTGGACGGTAGAATGATAACCATTGCAACTGTGTATTTTAAGACAGTATAATTATTTATTTGAATATATAATTGAAACGCTTGAAGACTCCTGAAGTCTATCTATTCCTTATCGAACTAGCGAGAATGCGCGGCAACTTTTCGTTTTCATCTTATTACTGAACAATTATTCACAAGTTTAAAACAGTGAAGATATCTTTTAAAGATGTACAATTGAATGAGTATGCAGATAACATCAAAGCCACTGGAATTAATGGTTGAAAAATGGCTTGAAAAGTTGTGACATAACATCACATCAATAAGGTAGTAAAATTTCGAGCAGCAAATATGCAAAATATGCAAATATGCGAAAATTAGATACATAATGGGACGTAACTGTAGAAATATTAGAAACGTTCTAGAAGTATACAATACTGGAAATAGAAAATTTACAAAACTTGTTTCGTGTAGTTCGTTCAGTATTGAGTTTCGAAGACTAATGAAATAAGGGTGATTTTCACATTCTGGAACAATACAATGTCCATTCACTGTGACCCTGAGTTCAACATCACGTGGGACACGACTTTTCAGCAGACGTGACGCGAAACATATACAACTGACTAGAACAATCTACAAAATCGAAAAAGTCGAGATGCCTGTGACTGCTTTCCTTTCTGCATCCAAGGAAAGCATAATTTGGTGAAGGTCTTGTCGACTTATGGTTATCTTTTTCTATGAATATTTAAGGTTTTTTCGTTACCAACGTAATAAAATTTCATGATTAAAGTGCAAATCAATTTCAATTTTTCATTTTCTGTCAAATTTCATATCGTATCTAATTCGCTTAGGTAGAACTATTCTCAGGCCTTGCGTTTGATGCGCATAAACATAAACGCGTGAATTCAAACAATTTGTAGAACTAAAACAATGTAGCAATTGCATCTGTCCCTTGGCAAACTGTTCAATTGGTTATAACGTGATACCAAACTCGACTGTAATGGTAATTATTCCCATAAGTGTAGTGCGTATGTTAATCACGGGAGGTAGTGGTGTTCTACTCCCGATGGATGGCGAGATCCGGTGTCAACCTACACGTCGGATTGAGGAGTTTTCCGCATCCAGGTGTCTCCCACCAGCGGGGCACTGCCGCCGCCGAGACATGCTCTAAACTTCCTACTGATCTTCCGACATGTGTAGTAGAGTAGTGTATGTGTCAGTGTGTGTGTGTTAGTAAGGGGGTGAGGATCGGACCAGAAAGAGAAAGGAAAGATCGCGCGCGGTCCGTGGCCCGTTTGCAGTGCCGGAGGTTGACAATTCTGAACCATGGGCAATGCTGAAACTTAGCCCCCACTGGAAAAAAAGAAATTGTGAATGTTGTATCAAGAAACTATGAACCTTTTTTATTTGAACAAATAATAAAATTTACGATAATACAAATTTTACGGTGATAGTAAAACGCTAAAAAATTGGGTTTAGTTAGTGTTTAATAAAATCACGTGTTGCTAAACTCTGGAAATAATAATACGAATTTCAATAAAATCCATTTTAATGTTAGCGTTATTTGATTCATTTCATAGAGTCCTACCTTATAAGTAATGATTATAATTAAAAAAATTTAAGTAAAAAATTAATTGAAAATTTTATGAAATATCAGACTACTGAACCGTGACTTACAAAATTATGATAAGGATTTTCCCAAGTTCCAATTTATTTTTCCTTTTTTACTAATGTTTGCCCATCAGTCCCATCATCGGGCCACTTGACTTGCGGGACCCCGGGCGATCGCCGGGTCTGCCCATTTCAGCACTGCCTGTTTGTTAGGCAGTACGCTTTGGCATTTGCTTGGTGTTGATCGGAGAAACCAAGGAAAACTACCTATATGAGCAGCCTTCCCCTAGATTTATCTTCCACGCGGAGGCTGGACTCAACCTAGCTATCAAGCTAGTATCGAAAATTCTGCCATCATTAGGACATGAATCCTAGAACCTTCCGATCAGAGGAACTGTAGTGACATTAGTTGATTCCCTGAGCAACCCCTCAGTCCATCTCACTTGGCAAATAGAAGCGGCATTCACTGTAGAATGATACGCTACGTATGATACATGACGAAAATACTAATACAAAATAAGTGCAAAGCGATTCAATGCTGAAAGCAATATCTTTGGAGGTCATTTATTATACTAGCAAGACCTGTTGAAGAGTAAGAGTATTAAAGAATCCTGCTATCCTACGTTTGCAATTTTTACAGTATATTAATTCACCTTTGAGAAACAAAAAGTCACTTCTGCACATAATCTCTGCCTGTTTCTACTGGCTTACGACATCTTGAAAGAATTTAATGCAGCAACCTTAATAAATGAGTTCTACGGAAGCAACACTTGCGGGGGGAAAAATTGAATTCAAGCGAAAAGAAAGACTCTTCGAAATCAGTAGAGATAAAAAACGTACAAAATGTTTTTTTTTAATGCATGTGCATTACTTTTGGAGTAGCCTTCGTAGCACTTTCTTGCGAGGCCCAAGACTTCCTGATTAGCGGGCCCTCGGGAACAAGAAACGTGAGGTGCTGAATAGAAAATCAGGCACTGTAATTCTTCGAGACATTTTCTTCATGACTGGGCCAGTTTAGCCTTAGAGCACGTAAAACAAGAGATTGAATCCGCTTTCTATCGGCCTAACATTAGCGTGAACTTGCTCTGAGTTTTTTTTTCTTTCTCATACATACGAGTACATATATAATGTATGTACATAAAAAAATGAATGGTTGCTGTAAGTTCAAACTTCGATCTCGAATTACTAAAGCCACCCTTTGTTTTCAAATATTAAACTAGTTAGCAAAAGAGACTAGCCTCACGTCATGGGAGTGGAAACAGACTCTCTGCTAGTCAATTTAGTGCCAGCACTCGCTTCAGTTTTATCACTCCGTCAACTTCGTCAGGACATTTCTCCTGGAGGATGGGCGCAACCAACGCATTAAAACACATTCAACGGAAACAAATTATGGACTCGTTGGAGCTGAAAATGTAGGTCCCAACGTATCTTATGAATAAGAAAAATCTCATCTACTTCAGGAAAGTTAAATACAGTGAAAACTCTCTAAAGCGAAACTTAAATTACCGAATGCTTTATTTCGTTACATAGAGTTTTCGTTGTATAGATGTTGAAAGTAAGAAAGACAATTGGAGCACTAATACAGGGAATACGGCAGCAAGAAAGAGGGTAGGAGCAAAACCAAAAAGCTAGCTCACGAAACAGATTAGGACACAAACTAGTAGGAGAAAGTCTGTGCCATTCAGTAACTTCAC